TTGCATTGTTATTTGGGCCAACTTAACTAACTTAGGTGGGTTCCAATAGTCTATCATTGCATTATATAATGCAGTTCGTTTCACACTATCATAGGCTGCTATGAAGTCGACATAGAGATGGTGTATATCTATGTTATAGCGGCTTCCCACGGTCGGCGATATTACGGACGTAAGCGGACCAGCACGCACCACGCACCGTGGGAAGGGTCTCGTCCGTGGTAGTGCAGGCACGTCTGTGCTGGTCCGTCCTATCCATCTAGACTCGGTAACATCAAAGGTGCGGTACATGCTCGTGCGACGCGATCCTAGCGCGTCTGTGTTTTAACAGACAACAAGTGCAAGTCAGAAGTTTTTCATTCGCTGACACGAGTAGTTTTCTGTAGTGTTGTCAAAGTTGTTTTGCAGTTTTTTGATAAAAAATGGAATAGACAAACCAAGTTATTTTTGATTTTTTAAATTTGTATCAAAATGAAACAAATTTATGGAATTCTACGGCACCAGAGCATAAGAAGCGGAACCGATATATACGATGTATGGAACCAAATAAAAAATCAATTGAAGAATAGTACTATTTCGATTAAAGAATTAAAAAAGAAGAGAAATAATTTAATGCCGAATTTAATGTTTACAAGCCTGAGTGGCCTTTTTATGATATAATCAAACAATGCTGTCACGGACCTAAACAGACTGTCACGGACCGTAGGAAGAGCTCTGTCTGCGGTGCGTTCTCGTCCGTGCTGATCGGCTATCCGCGATGATCTGTAGAATCACCGACCGTGGGAAGCCACTGTTATATTCTAGTGACTTTTCTAGAATATGCCTAGGTGCTTGAATTTGATGTGTAGTTGACTTTCCAGCAGTAAATCCGTATTGATGTTGACCAACAATATCCTTTATAAAATGTTTCATCTTTCAAACAATGCATTGCTGAAGACTTTATAGACATATGCTTAGAGTAATGCCTCTATAGTTCTTACACTCCAGTTGATCACCCCTTTTATGCAACGGACATATTATTCCCTTTAGCCACTCTTCCGGTACCAATTCATTCTGCCATATAAGTACTATTAGTTTATGGATTGCTGCAAAAAGTTGATCACCACCTTTTGTATACATTTTCGAACAGATTTCATCAAGTCCTGGGGCTTTAGTGTCTTGAGTTTTGGGATGGCATTTGACACTTCTTCTCTTGTTGAGTCTTGACTGTGTAGTTGACATTGTAATTTTGTTGTTTGTCTATGTTGTAACTTCCTTCAATTCCTACGTCAAGATAAAACTTTCTATCAAACTAAAAAGTATCTAGTACTAAAAATCAAGATATTTTTTCGTTAAAAGGTTAGGCTAATTACCTAGGTAGTGCTATTTGAGCAGAATTCTCTGGTACTAATTTTGCTATCAAATGAGGAATGTGTTAATATGTGTAAAGAATAGACAATAATGGACCCACATCTTTTGCACTACTCTCAAATGACGTGTATACAGTGGAGTTGGGTATTTGGATATTTAAATACCTATTTAAAATTCAAAATATTTATTTGACTTATGATAAGTTAGTTTTATTTTGAGGAATACGTGAAAAAAATTTCGCTTCAATAATAAAATTAGATGTGAGCCGCCCGCGTGCTGTGCACTTTCTGCACACCTGCTGGGATCGGCTCTCTGTTTTGCATTCCCTGCTCTAACATTGTTTGATATGTTAATAAACAAAACAATATATAAAATAACATCAATCGTACATAATAAACAAAAATTAATAATTTTTTGTTCATAAATCTAATTAGCGAAATACGTTATCTTAATTATTAGATAAATAATTTAAACGGTCGGTAAATATTTATTTAAATGACAATCATAGATATATAAACAAATATTGCAATCTGGATATTTAAACCGGTCTAGATAAACAGTAGGAACAAGTTTTAGTGCATTGTAGAGATAATCCAATATTTCGCTTAATTATTTAGGGTCAGCGCCAATAGATCGAGAATTCGTAAATAAGCATTCTTCTTACTCAAAAGATTATCCTAATAAATATCAACAACCTGGATGCGTCTACTGCTGGACATAGAGGTCTCCCTCAGCTCTTTCCATCTGTCTCTGTCTTGTGCGGGTTGCATCCAGTTATTGCTCACACGCTTCAGGTCGTCAGTGCATCTAGTTGGTGGGCGTCTTGGTACTTCTTGTCTTGGTCTCCACTCGACAAGTCGACAATATGTTTTGTTCAAGCAAAGTTTTATTGCTTGGTCAGACGTAATTGGCTTGTGGTGTTACGTGAGTTGAGTCTTCCAAATCTCTCGTGGGCTTCCTTCAGTTATATTTGCTTCTAGGTGAACGTCGTGTCTCACCTTACCACAAAAATCGTCCTAGTACAAGCCTCCTCGTTGGATCAGAAATACGGGCATTTTTTAGAGTACATACTCTTATTTTGCTAATAGTAATTGCTGATTATGCCTGGTGTACCTGATTGAAAGTATGTGCCATATTCGAGCGTACCATACTTCGTGCCATAGTTTGTGCCATACTTCGGAACTCTTGAGTCGCACACGAATGCAGTGACTATCCTTTTAGGTTTCAAACTCTTACAAGACTGTACACCCTTCCAGTTTCGCAGATTAGCGCAGATCTCAAAATTTCTAAGTGGTGAGTAAGTTATTGTTTCCTATTCATCCAGCTACTGCCACTACCATCGAACGAGATGGTCATCTGCATATGAGGTACTAACTTTGCCATGCAAGCCGGTATGGACACTCACCAAAATTAACACATCACCTTAAATTTACAATAAGTTTAAAGGTATTTTCCTTCTGAGTCGTTGATTTGATGTCTATGATCTTTATTTCATTATAGATTTTTTTACGAAAATGTTGAGAATGTCACTGAACCTCTAAAAATTATACGACCAAGCTGAGTTTTGTTGAGGAAGTCAATTTTGAGACCCCAAAAACAATGCAAAAAAGTTTACCACTCCTATCCCCCGGCTTTCCTCTAAAACCCCCTCTCGTATGAGGTGGGGGACACGTAGTAAAAATAATTCAAACAAAAAATGTAGCTGAGGTAATTTTGAACAAAAATTATTGTAAGATTTGTTATCTGCACGTCATTATGAAGTCGTTTCTCTTTGATGGAATTACTAACAAAAGCAGGTAGCAGTGGCATTGTGTTCATTTGTGACTGGACTATTTGTTTATGGTAGATGCCTCTCGAAACTAACGACACCACTCAAATGCAAATGGCTTTGTAGTAAGCTTAAGTTAAGGTTTGCTGCAATAATTTGTTGGCAACTATACAATGAACCGTTCTCATAAACAACGCTTGAAGCGATCGGCGATTTTGAATGTCAGTTACACGCGCGAAATAAGTTTTAAATTAAAGTTATATCAATATTCGATATCTCTTGATCAGAGGGTCCTATCGACAAAAATCAAAATGTGCGCTGTAAAGGTAACGAGTGCAGCTTTCGTATGCAATTTAGCCGCAAATGAAGTCATTTTCTATAAAAGTGTTAAATGAATAAACGTAGTAAAGATGTAGTGTTTCTTTCTAATAACTTTCACAGGGTGTTATTAAAAACAACTTTATTTTTACACCCCATATGTAAAACTTTGACATTTCTCAGAAAACATTGGAACAGTAAATTCAGTAGGAGTGAATCTAGAATGTGAATAAAAATAATCGAAATACAATCAAGGGCCAGAAGAAAAATCGCTTGAAACTTATACATTTAAGGTATTACGTTAATTTTGGATAGTAGCGTATATGAAAATTTATATTCACGATGTTTGAAAACGATTGATAAAACTGTTTTTAAATTAAAAATTGAAACTCTTGTCCTATCTTAAGGCTCTAATCATACTTATAATTTTAATTGCTAATCATCTCGTCATCTTTTATCTCAAATCTCTCATTTCTAAGTTTTTTTTTTTATTTCTGTTGTATCTTCTCTCCTTTCTAACTTATGTATCATTATTGGGCTTATACAAGATTTGTATAGGTATGAGGATATCCATGGTTAAATATCAAAACCTCATATGTTAAAATTTACAACTTTTTAGGAGAAGGAAAAAACTTCAATGCTTAGTACATATTATTTCTTTCTTAATATTTATTTAATTATTACTTAAAAAAAAACATGCCAAAACATATTTTCATGAATCTGGGGTTTTGTCAGAATATTCGGAATAATTTTTTCAACCCAAATTCTCATAAATCTAAAAATTACTTTGAGGGAATTTATGATGACAATTTGTGACCTTTTAGGTTTCGACATTTAATTGTCGATATGTACTTTACATCTAATCTCATATCCTCATTCTTCAAAATGACACCCCTTAAAAATCCTGATATATCAGCTGTTTTATTTGCTTGTATTATTATTGTGTTCTTGATTTTTTTGCGAAATTGGCAAATATGCGTCCAAAGAGGATGTTGATTAGAATTAACACTGAACAACGGTAAAACAGTGAAAAGATCAACCTATTAGAGAATCCATAATACGAATTTTATTTTAATTCTTGTATAGTCGACATATATTTAGGTCCGAATGTGCAAAAATTTATTTATTTTTACAGTTGGTTTACAGTTAATTACACAAAAAAATAACAAAAATAACATATATGCCAAGAATAAGCAAATTAATTATAAAGACAGAAAATACGTTTGATGACAGTGATGATAGTGATGCTGTAGTATCCAATTTGAATTAGCTGTTTCGTACTCAATTTTTAAAGTAGGTATAAGTAATACCTACGCCACTGTTCAGAGTAATAATTCATTTGTTGTTTGTAACATTGTTGACAAATTGGTTAGTATTTGGACTAATATATCTTTGAAAAACACAGACAGTGCAAACCAAAAACAGATTAATTGATATAAATCTTTTGGTAATCTCAACTTTGGATTTAGAAATAAAATGAAAAAGAACTTGGTGTTGATAACTTTATTCTGATATTTTAACAATATCCTGTTAACACAGTTTTTACATAACATTAAATTTGTTACAGGCTAAAGAAATATTGTCAAAAGAATCAAATGTACAAGAAGTGAAATGCCCAGTAACAGTATGTGGAGATGTCCATGGACAGTTCCACGATCTGATGGAACTGTTTAGGATAGGAGGTAGGAGCCCAGATACTAATTACCTGTTCATGGGAGATTATGTAGATCGTGGATACTATTCTGTTGAGACTGTCACCTTATTGGTAGCACTGAAAGTCAGGTATGTACATAAGTTGTTTTCAATTTTTTTTGTCATTACATAAGAATTATAATATGAAAAAAGTGATAAATACAAACTCCAGAAACAATATAAAATTGTTAGTCTTTATTATATCACTGATATGTTAAACTAAGCAGTCAAATTATCTAACCTGTGGTACTTATTTGCTGGTCGTGAAGACTCACTGAGCCTAAGGGCAGAACAAAACACTTATGCTAAGGGCAGACAGAAACTACCTTAGCAGTTCCGAAGAATGGAAAGCTGTTATTCAGAAAACCAGGATATACAAAGGGCTATGGAGCCAGAAAAGGAGGAGAAGATAGAAACACAATTACAGATGCGTTTGATAACGACACTTAGCAATAACGCATACACTGTTGTAATTAGAGAAGTTAGGGCATGCCCAAGAAAACATGTCACTTCAATCTCTTCTGTTGATTGTTGATGAAGTTGACTGTCGAGAGTTGTAGAGTCAGCCTGTTTTGTTTATTGTTTTTTTGCGCTCTTCAAAGACCTTTAGCCCCTGTCTGTAATATATCATTCGGAACATTGGTGATTTCTCTTTAACGTTTTAGATAGAAATATTTAGATTCTCATGACCGTTTTTATTATTGCTCGGTATGGACCTAGCATATCAACAGATAACAGTTTTTACCCAGCAACCAGTACAGTTTTTTGTAGACAAGACGAAATTGTAGTGTCATTGTCCATATATATCTTTGGATATATCGAGTCAATTCGATCCGATTCTAGGTTCGATTTGATTCCATACAATATTCGATTCCATTCTATATTCGATTCTATTCAATTCGATTCGAATCGATTTTATTTTACATGTGGATCATTTATTGAGCTGGCAAAGTCGCTGTAGAATGTCTCGATTGATTTTTTTATTTGGGTTTTGATATTTCGAGGTTGTTATTTTTTTATGAATATATTCTTCTTTTTCTTTGTCGTATAGGAGAATAACAACTATACTAATACTGGCGATGATTTACTTAACTGTTCATTTTCGCCTTTTTTGTACACGATCGTGTACGAAAATTTTGTTGCTCATATGCCAAAAGTCAGTATTTTTATTATTAATTGGACATATTTTATTACTAGGCAATGCATCTAACGTTGACAAATTTTGAGATAACCTCAATCCAACGAAAAGTCCTAAAAAATTAGGAACTACATAATAAGTTTATTATGTATATTGTTGTGCAGATAAAAAATAATTATCTCGAAATTTAAATAAAAACGTCCAATTATAAATAAGTTCATGAATAAGATACTGAATTTCAAAAACAAACAACGCAAATTGGATATAAATGTATATAAGTAGTAATATTTTGATAAAGGTATTTATGTTTCAACCAGTAACCTCTTACCAGAATTATGAAATAAAAAAAATATAAGTACATTCAACGATTAATAGATCAGTTAAAATGTAGACACTTAAAAAACGTTACTATTCTATAGTACTGTTGATCGCTAATATGTTTATGTTTCCTCATCCTTATGAAATGAAGAAATGATAAGAGATGCTGCGATCAAAAACCGATACGCAACCGAAACCGAAAAATAATAAAAACAGAAACGCAACAGATGATTAAGGATAGAAGCTGCATGGTTCGAAATTCATTAGATTATAAGAAACTTAATAAGAGAAAAAGAATTTCCATGCGTGTTTACATACATATTTGAGATCTATTAAAAATGAACAGAATACATTCCACTATAAGTTGCTTTATACCGATGCATCCCAAAACGCAGATGGAGTTGACTGTTCTGTCACTCTAGTTGATACAGTATTAGGACAATACCGAATATCCAACGAATGTAGTGTGTTTTCATGAGAACTCTTCAGTATTTCAAAAGCTCTTGAGTTTCCTTTTGACAATCATCAGCGTCTAGCTCTGTGCACCGATTCGTTATCCGCAATTCATTCGTTAGAAAATATTTTCAATAAACATCACCTCGAGCAAAAAATAGAAGGAAATTAGATCTGCAACGATATTCCTATTACCGTCAACCACATCCTCATAGAATGTCAACACTACCAGACCACTTGCATTGCCCACAATGTTAACAAATTGTTGTTTAACAAAATATAATTTACATAATATTCGATTTAAGTATTTACTATTGTTAACTCTGTATCATAACTCTGTAGGTACTATTCTAAACCTTTGCTCCCGTGTCAATGACCAAAGATGTCGAGACACGTTAATTTGAAATAAAAAAAAATGAACATAGGGGTCAATGGAACCTTTCGGCTTTACATACTTTGTGGTAATAGAAACCTGTTAACTTAACCATAACCTAACCTTAACTGTCTTTTTTACAGTTTACTGTAGTACGGAGGATTAGGAAATTGTTTTCTCGAAGGGATTTCTGCCTAGGCGAAGTGGTATGACGTGGAAACAAATTTTAAATCTCCATGCCAGTGCATTTCGATGCTGTTTTGTTTTACGTTTTGAAAACACAGATTTGGGCCGTATTCTGAATTCTATTCTATATAATATTCCTATTAAAATAGTAATTACTGTAAGAGGCCACAAAAAAATCATATAAAAATGCTATACAATAATTTTTTGGAAATTTTGTGACTTGTTCTACCATCATTCCTTCATTATTGTTTGTACACACTGTTCGGAAACGATTCAAAGAACGTTTTTGTTGATTCAAGACACTACCAGTGCAAGGACACATCAATTACACCTTTATAGAATTCTGCTTGGTTAGAGTCATTTTGGTCTTATAGGAGACTTATTTTAAACGTACTGTTTTAATGTTTAACTACTTATAAATGGAAATAATATAACGTCAAAAAATCTTTTGCTTCAATTGAAAGAAGAAAGTGGGTAATTACTCGTTGTTTTAGATTTTGGTACTATTTTTTTTGCGGACACCTTGTTAACGTTTTATTTATTTGTTTCAGGTACAAAGAGAGAATTACAATTTTGAGAGGCAACCACGAATCAAGACAAATCACACAAGTTTACGGATTTTACGATGAATGTCTAAGGAAATACGGTAACGCAAATGTATGGAAATTCTTCACCGATCTGTTCGATTATTTGCCCTTAACAGCACTCGTCGATAGTCAAATTTTCTGCCTGCACGGTGGATTGAGTCCTAGCATTGATACCTTGGATCACATTAGGGCACTAGATCGTTTACAAGAGGTAAGTTTGAAGTTTTATATTATTGATTATTGTACAACAGGTTGTTGCAACGTTTATAATGAACGGAATGTCTGACTTTTGAAAAAGAAATTACTGAATTTTCACAAAACGCAGTTTACGGATTAAATTGGCTGACATTCTTTATTATTAGATGTTTAGATCGTACATGAGAGCATCTTATGAAAAACTGTTTTTACTTTTTAAATACAAAATCATTACTTTATTCTTAAATTTAAAACGAATCTAGAAATCTGAAGAAATATATCAATGTAACTTGCAAAACGTACATTGTTTCTAACAGATGCCTATAAAAAGCTGCAAATTTACAAAAATATCAATAAAATTTTGTTTATCAAATACATTTTATAGAATTGAAGAACCGATCTTTGTTTTGGTGATGTGGCAGCGTTTCAATACGCTTTTCCAAATAAGCTAGCTATGTTATACAGAACTAATCTTTCCAGGGTTTATTTTAAGCTATAAAATAACTTCCTTATTAAAATAAACCATTAGAGGTGAAAATATACCATTTTCTCTACAGTATTCTATAGCTTATGCAGACATGTGGCTTAAATGACCGTCAAGCAATTAAGGATTCCCCACACCGACGCGAAACTTTTGCGACGCGAAACCGTTGCGGAACATTCGCAGGCGGAGCACTATTAAATTCATTATATATAATATATAATGAAAACTTACCATTTTCTCCTAGAAATGACCCTATATTATCCCAGACTTTATCCTTTTTCTTATATTTTTATAATCTTCGTCACTTAAATCATAAATTATAGGATATTGTTTCACAATTTCAATTAGTTTTTCTGTAACAGCCATTTTAATAATTCACGCGAAACTATAACTTGCTATAACTGCAGCGGAAAAAACCGTGCATGCAGCGTTTCATGAAACGTCAACGCTGTTCTGCCGCGACCGTTCCGGTTTCCGTCCGAACTTGTCTGAACACATGCATTAAGTCGCCGTGCCTTACGATTCGCCGTGATTCCGCTGCGAAAGTTTCGCGTCGGTTTGGGGAATCCTTTAAGTCGCCGTGCCTTACGATTCGCCGCGATTCCGCTGCGAAAGTTTCGCGTCGGTTTGGGGAATCCTTTATACAGTAGACTCGCGATTATCCGAGCTTATTCGGACCGCGCATACCTCGGATACCGAAAAACTCAGATAATGCGGAGATCGGGTATTTGCTTAAAATAAACGAAAAATTCAAAAGTGATGACGTATGTAATTAGTTTATTATGTACAATTGAAGTATGTAAACCTGTATACAGAGTACATAGTTAAAATATATAGATAGGAAAACGTTTATGTACTGGATCATCTTCATGTGTTAAAAAAGTCTGATAGGTTTCTTTGTCAACTTCGGGCCTCGTTTTGATGCTGCGATGTTGCGCCAACGCTGAAGATTAAGGACATCGATAGGGCTTGACTCAATGCCGGCGAGGCAGCTCCAATCGCTTTCGGAGTGAGATATTTTCTCAATTATCTCATCTGTGTCATCCTCAGTGATATTGTGTGTACGTTGATAACCATGTCGGTGATTGTATCTCAGTCTGCTCCATTTGCTGATCTTGCATAATCCAATCGTTGACCTATTCATCAGTTCTGTTGGTAACTGATTAGCGAGGTCTACTATTTCAGCCATGCAGTTATTGTTAACTTTTCCATCACTTTTCGCTTCAATTTGAAAAATATTTCGCCATGACTTTTGCAGTTGTTACTCTCACATCATCCACGCTGAAGCTGTGCAGTAAGACACATCCTTAACGGTGATCTTTTTAAGGGCTGCTGTCACAGTTATTCTCTCATCCAACTAGGTCAACAACACTTAGAGAAGCCTTCGACGATAGTTCCTCTTCATAATCTCTAAAGCTGGTTGGTTCAGAGGTTGAATGAGAGATATGACGTTTGGTGGCAAGAAAACAGCTTTAATGTCACCTCTAGCCAATGAACTTGCATCTGTATGAGACGGCGCGTTGTCCAAAAAAAGAATAGCTTTTCTTGGTAGTTTTTCTTTTTAAGTAGACCTCAACAACGCAAGTGAACTCGTCAAAAAACCAATCTTTAAAAATTTGGCAATCCATCCACGCACTACATTGATTCCTGTACATTGTGGTTAGGCAATTTACTTGAATATTTTTAAAAGCCCTTGGATTCTTCGATTTTCCAATAAGCAAAGGTCTTAATTTTAAGGATCCAGAAGAGTTACTACAAATCAAAAGAGTTACTCGTTCATTGATTTTTTTTTGTATCCAGGCGCTCTTTGGTCTGTCAGTGTTTTCGTTGAAAGCATTCTGAAATTAAGGCCCGTTTAGTCACAATTGAGGATTTGGTCTGACGTGAGGCCATGCTCTAAAATGAGATCTCTCAATTTTAAATTAAACGGCGAAATTTTAGATGAATCGGCCGAAAGTTTTTCACCCAAAATGTTCAGTTGTCAGATATCATATATGTATATTCTTCTACGTTTTCGTTCACGTCTCCAATATCCCACAGTCACTTCTCCATCACCTAGGTCAGCAGCAACCTTCTTGACTGATTCACCCGTATCCAATCGTTGTATAGCACTTAATTTTGTTTCTAAAGAAACCACAACTCGTTTACGTTTTAAACTCATATTGCACTTATATTGACGAACAGAACTAGCTTTGATGACTCAAACTGTGGGGCGGGGCAGTTGGTGGGGAGGTGGCCAGTAGAAGCATAGTGACTAGAACACGCGCTAGTGACTCATCTCTTCAGCGTACCAACAGCTAGCGCACACGCTTTCACTTGATCTCGCTCTCCAAGCTAATTTATTACAAAATTTGTTGTTTTCAATTACTACCACGGTTAATCGGGACTCGGATAATCGCGAGTCTACTATAGGACCTGTTTGTCAACTGAACACCGTGTAAGTGAAAATGCTTTAAGACATGTTGAAGGTGTCAGATTTCATTTATCCAGATTCGTTGTAAAAGTGTTTCATATGGAGCGCCTTGAAATAATAATTTATTCCTTATTTTGCGAGGGGGTATTATTGCTGGAAGAATTAATTGAAACGCAGCATTTACACAGAGAACAACGGAGACATTTTGTCCCCTTTCAGCGATTGTTAGGAAACCAACCCGTTTACCCCCTTATTTGCTAAAATTTTAAGCATCTGGCTGAGGACCGTCCGGATACCAGACCTATCCATATTATATATTCTCACAGGATTTACGTTATTTTTATTTTGATTGATGTTATTTCATCTAAAAAGGAAAAACAGTTATTGTTTTTTTATTAAAGCCTCTCGCTGTGGCAGTTAAAGTAGCCTCAGGAGTTCTAAAAGAAATCTAGAAAATCTCTAAATCAAGCCGTTCCAGCTGAATTTTGGTTTTTAGAAAACCTGTGTTTAATACCGTTTCTCTCCGCAAGCTCGTAGGCCATTTCACATATGTTTTCTTCGTCATGTCTTCCATCTCTAAAACATACTCCTTTCAACAAGGCTCCAATTTTTTGGGCAATGTTATAGTGAATCGAATAAGTCTTTTCGAATAACATGTGGCGTTAAAGAAAGTACTGATTATCTTTTACGAATAAAGCAGATTACTTTTAATTCACTTATTAACACCTTTTGATTTGTGGCCCTTCTTTTTAAAGTACGGGCAGCTTATACCTAATTTTGTTTTTTATAAATGTTCTGTATTTATTTTTTCTGCGGTATGTAGTACAAAACAACAAACAACATCTTATTTTCAAAACATGTTTATAAAAAAAAAACATTTCTCATTAGATCTGATAAACATCTGATAAAAAAGTGTATTTAAAACCTTAACCTATAAAGCCTAGCAACTCTTTCAAAAAAAGCGTGCCATTAGAAATATTTTTCAGGGCGTCTCATTGAATTTGAATCCCATTGTTGTCTTGTCGTCTTCCCCGCATAAGTACTAACGATTATTTCTCTACATGAAGATGATATAACTTACATTTGATTGTTAGAAAAGTATTCCGGTACATCTATAAACTTTATTTGGTAGGCAAGCAAAGGCAAAAATTTATTGTCCCCGGTATCATTGTGCCTCAACATGGAGGGACCATTTTACCTCAAAATCTAATCAAATTTACAAATTAAAAATTCAAAAGAGTGGCTTTTGATAATTAGAGAAATTACAGAAACAGATATGAAATAAAAACAAAAAATGCCCTTTTCCATAAAAAAATGTACTTACTTTAATTAAAACGCCTAAAAACAACTTTTGTATTATGCTTCGCATATCTTTACAGTTTTATCAAAATTATAAGAAATATGTAAGGGACCATTTTACCCGACTTTCCCATATGTATTCAACTAGTTTTCCCCAAAAAGTGAAACTGCCCTCTTTTGTGACATCTACGGTTAGACCCCTCACATGCAAACCCCCGTATGTAAACTGTTTCTGATAAGTTTTAACATGGACACTATTATTAGAGTAATCAGTAAATTCGGTTGGTTTATAAAGAACATCTCAAAAAAATCACAGAACGCGACATTACACTGATATATTACTTTGAAGCTTAAATATTTTAATAAACTTTTCAAGGCTAATCATAAAAAAAAAGAAAAAAATTAGTTGATGTTTATTATCATTTATTAAATTTATAGTATTAATTAGCAGCCGGTGTGTAAAGGAGAATTCGAATGACGATGATACAAATTATTATTATAAACATTTTACACAATTTGTGATAATCACACTGATTTTAATAATATAACGTATTGTTCCTCGTGTTTTTTGTTGTATTTGACAAAAGATAAATCATACATTTATTCGAATGATTCATTAGAAATGACGCACCTTTCATTAAAGAGGTTTCGTAGTGATATCGTTATCTTGCACGAAATCAAACAACTTGATTCTAGTTTTTTTTTTATGTTAAAGGTCAGTCGATTTCCAGTAATTACGACTTATTTCGGGAAAGCCTTTGAAAATTTTGTCGGCGAATTGAATACATGAGCTTTAAAAACAAACATCCGATTTTTCTGAATATAAATATTTTTTGATGGTAATGTAAATATTCTCAAATTTAAAAATATGTGATGGTTGTCTGAAGCACGTGGTTCCGACTATTGTATATTTTAATATTATCGCTACAAACACAAATGAATTTATGAATAAACTATATGTACAGGGTGTGCTAATTTTTTTTTATTCTCTGCTAATGAAGAATTACTACTCTGCTATAGTATTTTATTTAATATTCCTTTAAACAAATAATTTCTTCTTTTTCTATGAGATGATTTCTCTCACCTTTAAATTAATATACTTTTGCATTCGAGCAAACCAATCGTCGCTTCATATCGATTTATATCAGTCCAAAATGAGATGTTTGTATGCTTCATCCGCCCCATTTTGCAGCTTAAAACGTTTACCGCGTAGTTTGTTTTTGATTCTCAGCAAGAAATCACACAGTGTCAAGTCAGGACTGTATGTAGAATGGTGCATCAAATGCACATGTGCCGTATAAGAGGTGGCATTGTCCTGCTGCAATGGATGTCGTTAAGAAGTATCAGAGTAATGACCAGGAGATTAGAGCACGCATCTGAAAAGCTAGATCCACCTTCAATCGGATGGGGGCCTTCTTCAAGAGCCATAACCTCTCTCTTGATACAAAAGTAAGAATGCTGCGATGCTACGTTTTCTCTGTCCCTTTTTATGGTGTTGAATCGTTGACCTTGAACGAAGATATGTGTAGAAAACTGGAAGTATTTGAGATGTGGCTATATCGGAGAATGCTTAAGGTCCTGTAGATTGACCGAGTCACAAATGAGGAGGTTCTCAAGAGTGAATAAGAACCGAGAGGTACTGACCACTATCAAATCTCGAAAGTTACAGTTCTTCGGACATATTATGCGAAATAAATCCAGTTATGCTCTCCTTCAAGCCATCCTGCAAGGAAAAATATGTGGAAAAAGGTCCAGGAAGAAGAAGAACATCTTGGTTAAAGAACCTCAGAATCTGGTTCAATACAACATATGTGCAGCTTTTCCGCGTTGAATAAAGATTGCCATGATGATCGCCAACATTCGTAACGGATAGGCACATCAAGAAGAAGAATGTTTCGCCACTTGGATGGCCCTATCATTAGTTGCCATTAAGTCAAGGTGAGTGCATGGCTGGATTAAGTCTGTGCAAACCAATAAATGTTCACGATTTTTCACTACGACGCAGTCACACTTTTCATGTTCTGTATAGTAACATCTTTTTAAATTTGACCTTTACAGTGGCGTGTCGGTTCTGAGTATATTTGGAGACCGCCATGGGGTGTAGGGTAATTGCAGTCCTCTTTTTTTTTAAGCACCAGCAACCGACGGACGCTTCTTTCCAAAGCTGTAGGCGACGTCGATCAGCGGGAATTTAGATCGGAGACATGATACTTATAAAGCTGCTACGAGATTTCAACCTTAATGGGTGCCTCCGCTGGCCAAACATGAATTTGATCATCAGAATTTCCTTCTGATCTTTGGAAAGCACAATTCTGATCATCGGGTATAAGTCATGGACTGGCACCAGGATATTATTCGAGTCGTCTGAGTTATATCTAGTATATTTTCTATTCTCCACTGGACTTTACCATATGGGTGGAGAGCGATCTGTATTCGATAAAGCTGAATTTCACGTAGATGCGATCGTGAGATGCTGCAATCAATGGAGTCACATTAAACCCTATAAAATCAAAATTGATCTTTTTTAGACACCCTTGTTCATCCCATCTCCATCCCAATGTTAAATTTCAGACCATCAGTGCCCTACTTGGTCGTCGAATTCACAAAGACGCTCAATTTGAACACATTAAAATTGTCCTAAACAGGGTGAGGAGGGCCAGACCAGAGGGTGCATTGAGGATTAAATTCGGGATCACTCACCAACTGAATCTCATCGATACGTCTAAAACGTCCAATGACCTATTGTCTAGTACATGGCGCGCTCTATACGAACAAACCTCAGGACAAACAGAAAGGAAAATCCTGGAAGGATAATGAACAGAAGTCGAGATGATATTTCAGAACTAATTGACCAACTAGTCAACATCCCAATAATTCAAAGTCTGATTCAGTCTCAAGGCAAGAGATACACACTAATAACAATCAAAAGCTCAAATGCCAAAGCTAGAGAGCTCCTTAAAACACCCTGTTACCGCCGGGGACAAGTTCTCCAGAATTCCTAAAAACTAAGCTTCTAAAGTTAAGAGCAGGCAATGAAAATCCTGATTACAGACCTTTTCCTGGCTTTCAAATGTCCCAAGTAACAATGTGCACAACCCAACATGCTGAATATAAGAGCCGTTCCCAAGAATTTGAACGTCTAGTAGCATGGTTTGGAAAACTCCAAAAGCTAACAATTGGGTAACCTCTTTCCGATCCTTCACTTTTAGCAATGCTCTCTTTCCACTGCTCCATATAACATCGAATCGCGCTGCCAATTCAGGTTCCCACAAGAAAAAAATACCTTGACAAGACAAGGGAACAGCCATACCTTAAACAGGCAATGAGACAAAACCCTAAACCACTTCTCCCTCCCCTACTTTCTTACTCACTCTTTCCCCTCTGCCTCACTCTCTTCCCCGCTCTTTCACTCTTCTCACTTTCCTCTCTCCTTTCCCAAAGTTTTTCTCTTTCTCTCGCCCTAGAACCTAGAACGGGTCTTGGGTCTTCGCTGACTTAACAATCTGTGCCTACTTGCAACGGCCCATCATTAGTCATCTGTTTGTCCAAACTTTAGATTAGTAACTAGTAATTAGATTTGCTGATTGATTAGTAACTAGTAAGGAACCCTGTTATTCGAGCGCTAATGTTGCGTCAACCGGACAATGAACTAACAAAACATTTTCAGCGAGTAGAAATTAAAAATCCAACTCGTGCAATTCTTTTTTAAATTTCGATTGAACTATCTTCGTCAGCTTTTCTATCTTTTATGTTTATTATAAAAAAAAATAAATGTTTTTGTTAAGTATCGAAATAGATGCTTTATTTTAATTGCATTAATGCAAACATCATTAAAAACTATTATTAGACTATAAATAAATATCTCGGATCATTTAAAATGTACAATAAGATTATTGTTTTATTTTGATTCATGGATGACCGAATATATATAATAAAGAAATATCAATTTAAAACATTTGGTTGTTGCTATAACCCGAAGATTATTTTCATTAGATAAATTCGAGAAAATGATAAATACAAACGTGTAGCGGTAATTATTTAAAAATATTTTCTTTATTTTTTAACATGCAACGCATTCGGTGACCATTAAGTTAAAACACTTTCAGACATAATTTTTTTTCTGCCAAAAAATTGTTTTACTTAATTGTTTCCAACTTCCTGTAATTAATTGTCAGGAAGTCACGACATGTGACACCAGCATACAACATTATACAACTTCAAAAATCGTTTGTAATTCTCAAAACATTTATGTTTCGTGACATATTTTAAAACAAGTTTAAAATTCATTTAAACAAAGTAAGACCTGGGATTTTTCACACTTACTTAATAAACTTTTTGTATAACTTTTCTTCCTCGGACCAATATTGTCATACCTAACGTCATCCGAAAGTCCAATCTGGAACTTAAAATTAATGATTGAAGTCTGCCTCGTTTTGGAATATTTATATGACACCCACAACACGCCAGCCAAACTGTCTGCATGGTAAAGTGCAGTGAATCTATATAGGATTGTTGACTTTTCTGAACGATATGACGTCGATATTCCCACCTCCTACAGTCAGTTTTTGTAAGCGAATGAAGGTGCAATTAAAAAATTCATTTTTCCACTCCACCCATGGACCTTGCTCTGGATCTTGCTCTGTCAGATAAATGACAATGGGAGGATCGACAGCGGCAATAAAATCGTGATTTTGTATTCCACTGTTTATTTTTCCTGCTTTGTATAAGGTGCAGATGGTGATATTATTTCTGAAATTCAATTTATTATCTTTTAGTGAACTTAAACCTTTTGGGGGATATTTTCGCTACTTGTGCTTCTCATGCTTATACTTTTGGCCAAATCTGTTGTTTATCCGCCTTCGGGACCGATTTCTCAACCCCATGGCAAAAGGGTGTGCTACCTCTTACCAACTCATCCGCTGTTATCCTAGACAGAAGAGATGCAGATGCAATTATCAAGAAAATCTTCAACAGGAGACCAATAATGGAGGATCTTACGAAGATAAGTTAAAGAATAAAAAATCCATATGCAGAAAGAATGGAAAAATATCATGGAGAAAACAAGTCACATAACCAATTGTAAACTAAAACACGTAATTCGGACTAATCCCCTGCGACAAATGGATCAAAAGAGTGATGGTGCCCTATGTTGATGGTATTGTTGTACCACAAGGTGACCTTTGAACTGAATTATTGATTCTTCAGTACATAAATTTTCTTTGAGTTGTAATAACGCATACCCATTTTTAAAGGAACTGACTATAGGACGTAATTTCCAAAGGTTATCGTTGTTATCATGCCCACCATTTACATCAATAATATGACGGTTATTTCTAAGACATTCAAGTCTATTTATTGGCAGTTCAATGTCGTTTACAAATTTTATTTTTTTAAGCAGGTATCCAATACATTCTCAATCTCAACAAACTAATTATAACCAGTACGATCTGTACATTATTTTATGATGACTATATTTTTGTTGTACTGTCAGTATATCTCCAACATGTATACAACATTTTAGCAACTAACCTGTATTGTAACATTTACGAATATGAAAACTTTGTGTCTTTATAAATAGCATTATACTTATACGATATCTTCATTTCAGGTACCTCATGAAGGTCCAATGTGCGATCTTCTATGGTCTGACCCGGATGACCGCGGAGGCTGGGGCATCTCTCCCGTGGAGCTGGCTACACCTTCGGACAGGACATTTCAGAAACGTTCAACCATACCAACGGTCTGTCTTTAGTATCTAGAGCGCATCAGCTCGTCATGGAGGGTTATAATTGGTGTCATGAAAGAAACGTAGTCACCATTTTCAGCGCCCCTAATTATTGCTACCGATGCGGTAACCAGGCGGCCATTATGGAATTAGATGATGCTCTTAAATATTCATTGTAAGTATAGGTTTATCTTGTATATATTTTTGTAATTATATAGATATTTGGATTGACAAGAGCTCTAATCGACCCAGTCTATATAATATTATATGTAAATGTAAATTTCGGTCACTTCTGTTAGCCCAAATTGAAATTGCAACATCCACGAAGAAATTTGAAAGCTTTATAAACATTTCCCGAAGTTTATACATTGATAATCTGCAGAAAACAAATAATCGAGAAGGTTTCGAAGTTTAAATATCTGGGCCTTACAACAAATGAGACTGTAACTGGGGTTAAAATATTTGGATCGGTATGGCGAAAACGTTTTCTGAAAATGAAATTCTGCAACATGTACGTCATCTGCCATAAAAACCAGCTTAGTAAGATTTTTCATTTGTGTAACTGCTCATACGATTAGCAAACCTCCGCTATGACTATGAGGGAATTCAATGAAGATTCCATAAATCTTTTACCTACTCTTTTGCAAACGCAATTTATTGTTTGGTTAATTCATTTCGATTTAAACATGTTTAACATGACAACAACTGAACAAAAATATTAATTAAAATCAACAAGAAGAAGGAAATTATGTTGTATGATTGCTAACTCCCAATACAGGAGTGTACCAGAAGAAGATAATAAGGTTAATTTGGGTTGTTTTCTTACGTAAATCTTTTTGAAACCCGAAATATTATAATTTATTTTAAATTTAATTTTTATATATTTTATAAAAATTCTCTTTAAAATTCTTACCTTATTCTTTCGTTTTCAGCTTACAGTTTGATCCAGCACCAAGACGTGGCGAACCTCATGTTACGCGTAGAACTCCAGACTATTTCCTTTAAACATTCTTATTGATACGTTTTTTTTCAACTGCAATATATCATACAAAAAAATACAAAGAAGAAAGCTTAGTATAAATAATTGTATTTGTAAAACAAAATATCATATAGTCTATTGCGATGACGCGGGCGAACACCACATCCCATTCTATATACTATTACGATTATTATTATTCTTAATATTTTTATTATATTGATTCCTTTTTGATAACGATAAATAAATTGTAAGTATGTTATTGGTGTACTATTTAATTCTCGAGACTTGTCTAGCTGTGTAATTACAATTATTTACCCTTTAGAATTACGTAGGGCTCCCTTTCGATCGTTATCAAGAGGGTTTTCATTGAGACAATGGGTATGTTGCGTCGATCGCTGCGATTCTGGTTTATTTTTTTCATTTTTCATCCCCCAGTACTACTAGATTTGTATAAAAGACCAAGGGAAATGCATCCAAAATGTATTTTGCTTGTATTTGTATATATTGAATGAATATGTGGACTGTACACTCCTAATTTTGCATTTAGAAATACTTTTGTCTAACAGAAACTGCTAGCTCGAAATATATATTCGGAAATGGCAAATTATCGGAGGTGCTTTTAACACCAGCGGCCTATTATTTGATACTGTGGATATTATATGTGAAAAAGATGCAATTATAGTAAAACTTACTGTTATAGTTTATTTTGTTTTCCATAATCCACATATTTGAAAGAATTAATAAAGTTTCAGATTGTTAAATCAGTAGAAACAATTATCTAATCCACTTAATATTTTTCATATTTTTCATCCCTACCCTATTCTAGGGCACTGTTACATCCGTTACCCTATTAACAGGACTTTAGAACACCATAGTTGCAATGCTACTTAATTTCTATATCTCAAATTGCCATCCAAATCATGTTTGTCCATATAGTGGTAGACCGCCACTATGCTGCAATCAAATGCCAATGCAAATTGCGATTGCAAACGAACTTTTTCCTCGGTCCACCGCTCATTCTCTCTCGCTGCACGATTTTCTGTTCTTGTCGAGCTTCATCAAGAATTTGTTGACGACTTTTTCAATGTTTTCGGGATTATGGCCTTTAACGGGTAGTTAAGTATCTAACTATGACAACTACCATAGTTACCGGATGCCAGAGATGGAATTTTTATGAGAGAAGGCAACCAATTTAACATAGCAACTAAGACCTGATGTTTGGCTGCCCTACGCTATGCAGCGTGTAGCCGTTCATGCTAGTTGTCGAATGTACAGAGATTCTTATTCATCTCTTCTTATACTGGCATCACATATGCGAAACCAGTTTTTTATGTCTCTTAACCATGAATGTTGTTTTCGCTCAGGGCCTTAACCTTCAACTTACCCGTCAAAATGACGTTTAGGAGATTATATTTGTTATTTCATAGAATATGCCTTAAGTATGAAATCTTTTGATGCTCAAAAAGATCTATAATTATCTTTGGACGTTAGCTCTTCTTGGGGCTTTATTATTTTGTACATAGAATTCTGAGCAGTCTTCTGAGGCACCACATTTCGAAAGGCTCCACACGATTTAGATATCTCGCTTCCATACATTAGGATAGGTTATATGTAACTTCACGTCGAATGAGGTTTTTATAAAGGTTTAATAGCTTTATTATTTATATTTAACTGAGCTTCCATATGGGATTGTCTGTTGATTCTCATATATTTGGTCTTTGCTATAACTATATGTTGTTCCAAACCTGAATTAGTTGTCCAGTTACTACAGAATTTACCTGTACACAACACTTGCTAGGGTAACCTGTTTAGAAACCTGGGTCTCTCATCAAAACCACTATTGATTTAAAACTATGCCCCTCTTAATTATTATAATTCTCAATTATCTCAGCACGTGCCGATTATGCAGCAAGCTCAAGAGATAGATATTACAGCTGTAAAAAGATTTAAAATCCAACGACATAAAAGCAGTATATCTTGACTTCCACTATACCATTCCAGATAAAAGTTTTCACCACACAGTGTAGAATCTTATGCAACGCTCTTTTGTCATGTTGACTCTTGTATAAACATTGCTGATGAGAAAAAAAATGTTGGTCGTCATATTTGACAGAAAATGACAAATTAATCACGAGATTAAATCAAATATTAAGTCATACAGAAGAATTAGATTTTAATTTCTGTTTGACCAACTATGACACTATTTGACAGCAAAGTCAGTGTGTAGCAGCTACAAAAAAAGAGCTGTTCGTTCATTTTCATAGTTTCCTCTCCTTCATTTGCAATGAAGTAATTATAATTTGTAATATAATTTGTTGACTCTATTAATGAATACAAAATTAGGAGCAGTAGCAGAAAAACTATTTCAACTGACTCAATTTATTTTATTAATAAGTCCTGGTATTTTTACGTTTGAAACTTGAACATTTTGGATGCTTTTTATCTTCGATCTTTGTAAAGAAAACGTGGAATAAAGTAAAACAATGTTAAATATTACCTAGGTATTTTAATGCATTAAATTATATACTCAATGCTTGAAGGATAATATAAAGAAGCATTTGTTTTTTTTTAATATTTTTTTCTCTTCAAACTCTTTTGTGTGCGGCACATTTTTGTAGGTATCTTCGTTTGGTGGAAAAATAGAGGTGGAAATTAATAATAGGTCTATAACGTGAAGTACACTTTTTATTATAATTATTTCGTTTTTTAGTATTTAATGATATTTATCTATTTAACAGCTCTAATATTCTAATAAGCATTTTTTTATCAAATGAAGGTATCAAGTTGTAAAAAGAACCTAAAATTGTACAAATATTTCGACATTCTTGGTTGTTTTCCAAAAAAAATGTAGATGTCATTAAGATTTTATTGATCTTTGTTTCCATATAGTTAAATTCTGGAATAATCTCCTTGTCTAATTATTCCAAAAAGCTTATTTTTATTAACGTCACATTTTATTTTCAATTTCCTACTGTAAGTCTAAACAATTTTTTTTCTGTTTTTTTTTCTTTCAAATAAAATTTAGTGAGTTAACTGCTTTTATTTTTTTAATAGTCAGAACTCGTTTCACGAGAAGCTAATTGCCACCTTGCGTTCCATTTTTTTATTCGACGATTTTGTCACGTGACCTATTGAGGTTATGTTAAAATTGTTTACAGATTGTTTAGGAAAAAAAAATATAAAACATAGAGGCTTTTAAAAGTAGGGCATATTTTAAATCGAAATTACATAAAAAAAGAACGTTTTTCAGAGAATAAAAATCATTGCACAATCATCAGTAAGTGAAACAGAATTCATTGATATAAATTTTATCTCCGTAGACATCGTTCAATCTTACTACACTAGTACCCAAAGGTTTTTCCCACCATTTATAATTCCACTTTGATTGTGTTGCATAAGGTTTCTTACAAATCAAACACATTACATTTTTAATACAATTTAAAAAATACAATAGAGTACAATACAATAGGAAATAGAGCAAATCACCGCTATACCAAAAGTAAACCAAAATAAAGTATTTTTTGAGTATTTATTTAAACACACGGTTAGTTGCATAGTACAAACTATGCCTATTTCCAATTTACTATTGCTAATTACAAATTCAAAACCAATAAACTCAATATCTGGTGTCAAAAATGTCATCCAGTCGTCCAATGAGAAGATGGAACGCAAGATGGCAATTAGCCTCTCGTCTCTTTTCTTGTAGTTGTCATATTTCAAATTTGTCAAATGTCAGTGTATAGTGTAGTAGAAATGTGAAAAAAAGTAATATGAATAAGGAGTGAAAGGTAATACAATAGTAATATAAAAGTATATGGAACTTATAATATTCTAGTTATTTGCATAGTATATTCTCAACTATAGACAAAAGCACACGAAGCAATGAATCAATTGAAACTTCAGAAATATTAACATTTCGCAGATAAACCGCTGAGTGAATACCGCGCTTGTAACCGTTTTGCCGGAGTATATTTTGGAATACTGGGGCATACTGTGTAGGTAAAGAACAAATAAATTTGATGACTGAAATCGAACTGATAAAAATAAGTAAATATATGGCTGAGTAATGGATCAGAATAGTAGAAGATGCGTGCGAGAAATATATCAACTTGCATGTGTTTCTTAAAGTTACATTTTAGCATAAGGAAGTAAATTTTATCATTATTACACTCATTGTCCATTTTCTACGTATGTCATAACCACTTTTTATCGTGTATTTACGATAAATCAAGTTAATCAGCAAATTTGTACCGTTTGTATTATTTTTAATATTTTCATGCAAATTAATAAAAATTATTACTTTTTTACGAGAAAAAATTAAGAATGTCGATGTTGTTTTTCGTGTTGCCATTGTTTAAGTACTCGGTGTCCCTAATATTTTGTGGTATATTGTAAAACTTGTTATTAAGACACCTAATACAATGGGATAATGATAACGTTCCAATTTGTGCCAGGAGTGCTGAAATTTAAAAGAATTAACAGTTTTCTCAGATCAATTTAAAACATCCTTATAACAATTTTTTGTGGCAAAAAAATTCTTTGTCGAATGACAAAGAATTATTTTGTCACACACACACACACACACACGCGCGCAACAACTTTCTCATTTGATACAAATCAGTAAACTATAATTTTAATTCTATTGAGTAACATTTTCTTTGTACCGGATAAATTAATAAATTTCTACGTCATCGATTACATATACAAAATTCTCAAAATATAGTGAAATACGATAAACATTACTCATAGTATCAGATAATGGCAACATCGCCTGTTAAAATGCATTCTTGGCACAAATTGTGACGTTATTAATATAACAAATTGGTATGTGCGTGCAATGACAGTTGGACTTGAAAGCGAAAAGCAGCGTTGTCGTTACTTGCGGGAGTTCTTGGATTTAAAGACTTACAAATTTTTGCAGTTTCAATTCCAGCTGTCGTTGTATTCACGTTTATTTCTAACGTACGCTATGAGAATTATTTAAACGTATGTCGTGTATGTTTTTTACGGATTATTTCCACATCAAACTGGAGGTTAGTTGTCGGTATTTGAGTGTCAGTGTATAGCGACATTGATGGTTCTGACAAATGGAGCAAAGGAAGAAAATTAACTTGAGACAATAGCGATTGGTGACTTTAATGTAGCTGACGTAGCTTGTTAATAAAAGACAAAAAACAGTTAATGCCGCTATATGGAGAGTGTAGGTGTAATCTGCATTATTTGTAAATTGTAGTCATTTGTAAAGGAGAGGGGATGTTTCAGTTGACTCTCAAAAATTGACAAACCGTTACTGGCAGAGTTGACGTCGTAGACATGCAATCTCTTTCATTTATTTCAAATTTTTTAAAGACTGCTCATTTGGCCGTTCAGTAAATAAAAAGTATTTCTAATTTTGAGAGTTTATTTTTTACACCTTTTCCTTTTCTCTCCACGCATAACCAAAGTGCTTGGTTTTCAGTAAGGTTATAATACGCAAAGCATTAGTACGCACCTTTATGAAGTACAGTTAAATGTTGATTATTTTAAGCTAAAGACAAAAAAAAACGATTTTTCCAAACTATGGACCTCAGATGTAAGCCTAATACCTGGATGTTGGATCCAATGGTGCTAAACATTTTTACAAATATGTTCTAATTATACATAGAATATAAACAGGGGTCTCAAAAACTGAGATGTCAAAATTATGGTGTTTGTAATGTGAAAGTTTAAATTCAGCGTTTTTTAGACATATTTCAAATTCCTTATATTTATTGCTTAATTTATTACCAAAACTCAAAATCGATATTTTATGTTATAGTTTTTGAGGATTACCGTGATTGTAATGAAATGTATGAGTTTGTGGAATGAATATTAGTCAGAAAAATGAAATAGAATATCCCATTTTTAATATTTTAAAGTAATTGTGTAATACAATCATATTATTGATATATTATACATACATGTTATGTATTGAAATATAATAATAAATACATTCTGGTTGATAAGATCAATCTACCACATTAACTGTACCCTACAGGAACAACATATTGTCAGTTGACAAAAAAACATTGTCAATTTTTAAAAGTCATCGTCGCTGTCCTGTGGTTTGCTACTAGCCAGTCTACCAGAGGGCGCCCTACGCTCTCCAGTAGGAGCCAATTCTAAAGCCAAAGACTCGTCGGATTGCATCAACTCTGGTTCATCTTTGTCCAAGAATATATCATCTGATTCTGAGTCAGAACTGAAGTCGAGCGAAGACTGACTGCCTATTAGAGGAGGTTGCATGCTTCCGTATGCTTTGGTGGATTCTTTATCTTGCGTTGTCTTGTGAGGTCGAGCTAAAAGGAGAAAATATATTAAAATCGTTTTTTGTTTTTTTTATAGTGTTCACTTTTTGGAAATTTATGAGGTTTAAATGGCCATGCAAGTATTTGAGAAGTAGTAAGTGCCAATGACATAAATGACAACGAATGAAAGTGACTATATAGTATGAGTAAAGCAAAGAATAGAAATGTATTGTCGGTCGATGACTAATAAAAAATTCGGAAAACCATCTGCTCTAGTTTACTTCATAGGTACGGTGTTACAATATCAAGTAGGTATCGTTATACTATATAAAAATAAGTATACAAAATAAAAGCTTAGTAGAAGTATAAAATTAGGAATAATAAAATTGCCCAATGGTATGAAAATAAATGAAAGTTAATTGGATATTAGGTTAAATGTTGTTTGAAAGTGAAAACCAAGCACTTACTAGTAGTGGTAGCACGCGGTTGCTTCTCATGTCTGTTACCAGCACCATTTCTCTCCAAGGCAGGATCAGCCTTTTCTAAGAAAATGTCGTCCTCGTCCATTTTCTCCAACGGGATTGTTTGTATATGTGGTAGTGACAAATTTACTTGTTTTTCTATTTGCGCCATTTCGGATTCCGTGAATTGCTTTTCCAACAAATTGAGGCATCGAAGGCGTAGAGAATATTGGATGAAAAGTTCTTCCAGTTCTTTTTCTAATGCAGTAAATTCTTCCAAAAATGCTGGTCTAAAAAAAATAGCGAAAATTTAAAGCAGGATTTATGAATAGAATATATATTTTGTCGAATTGGGTAATATTCCACATGATTGGCTTCTGTCTCTCTCGTGCTCTCTCTCTCTCTCTCTCTCTCTCTCTCTCTCTCTATATATATATGTTTTTCGTACATACGAACTAAATGTGGAGACAGGATACATCCTTGTCTGATACCGTGTTCTTGATGAAATTTTTTTGAAAATATGTCGGATAGTTTTAATGATCCAGTGTAGCGGTACACTTACTTCTTTTAGTAGGTATCCGCCATAAGTGATGCCATTAAATTTTGTTAGACACCAATAAATATATACAGAATAAAAATAGGTAAAAAAGTTGCCACTCCAATTCATCCATTAATTTTTATTTTACCTTTTATTTACCTGTTAAAGTTAAGCCTTTTAAGTTTTCAAAACTGGACTTTTGAAAACTCCAGAACCATAGCCCCCCTCTACTTCTATAAACCAAGAATTATCCGAGAAGCCATAGAAATTGAAAAAAGACCAAATTGTCTCAATAAAAGAGATGACGACAAATGTGGGAACCCCGTGTAATGGAATAAAATTGTTTGTGTCCTTATTTTAAAAAATTATAAAAACACCAAGATTCATCAACTTTTAAGTTTCAATGCGCGCATTTAAAACATAAATTTAAATGTACAAGGAGATTCACGCAAGTTTTGCTTAGTCCAACATCCTTATTGTTAATGAAACACCCTGTAGATTTCTATATTTTTAAAAACACCTTAAGAACCTGATCTTATGGAACCTTATTATTAAGGTCTATTATAAATAGTACAGGGTGAAATTTTAAAATTACACAGTGTGTAAACCACTTGGACCCTTCTTGGCACAGATTTAGACAAAAATCTAAATTTTTGTTTAGATTACTCCTAGAGTTTCAGTTAGCCCTAGACTCCAGCACATATCAGAGGTAATGTAAGTCGATAAAACCTCACCAGCTACAGGGGGTCATGTAAGATGCCCCCATTTTCAGTTTTTATTAATCAACAAGTTAACAGTCTATCGCATTTACCTTTATAAATACCATGAGGATTGTTTTTTAATACGGATGTCCTTCCAATATTTTTATGTGGCCATGCAATGTTTTTAACAACTTTTTATTAAACTGATGATGGAATGATTCAATTCCGAAAAGATCTTTAAAATAAAAATTTTAAGCTTTTAATAAGCATTTTTTATACCTTAATACACACGAACACCACGTGCTTTGGCTTTCAAAAGCACATGGGTGACCATGCGATAAAAAGCGCAGCTGCTATTCAGAACTCATTGGCCACCTGAAGATACATATGTGCTAGTGTCTAGATTCAGCTACACCTGAAACCAACAACTACGTTCTGAAACCTTGTCCACCTACTTGACGACAACAATGCTTTATTTATCCCAGCAAAACTCATTTTTTCAGATTTACTTCTAAGACTCACATCTGAGAGACTGAGTTAGACGAGGCCTAACAATTGACTCCTAAAGAAAGGTAGGATGCCCCATGCTGGACGCCAATTAGTAACCTTCGGACGACCCATTAGAAACGGTGGGTGCCAATGGATCTTCTTCTAAATATGCCTATCTTTTAGAGATGTTGGCGACCACATTGACCCATCTTATTATATTCACAGTAGCTCGAAATAGATCAGTTGACGTTAGATCAGTCCATTTCCTAAGATTGGCTAGCTAGGATATACGTCTACGTCCAGGGCCAATGGATAAAAATATAAATACCTCTTGAAATTTGGGAACCGATGTATAATATTAAAACTTACATTTTCCTTTGAGAAACTGAGCTAGACGAGGTCTAACAATTGGCTCTCAGAGAAAGTTGTTAGTTTTATTGTTATACATTAGCTCTCAACTTTCAGAGGTTGTTATGACACTATGACAAGAACTACTTATATCATTAAAAAAGGGTGTCTCTGAGACATGCATATCCTAAACTTAATAAAACTTATTAAACCTAATAACAGAAGATAAAAATAGAAGATAACGAAGTTCAGGTTGTCAACAAGAGTTGAAAAGAATCAAGTCACTGTTGTTAACCAATCTTTATTAAATGGAGACAGTAATCAAAAAAGGGTTACCTACCTTACTTTTTTCAAAGCTTGTAGTCTTTTCTCGTATCTGCCGATTTCTACATTCCGTTTCTCAATTTTCGTATCAAGACTGGCTTCTGTAGCAGCAACATTTTCGATGAGCTGCTTCGTGTCCAAAATTTCTTGGTTGATCGATTTTATTGCTTCTTTTATGCCGGCTTCTACCTCTGACAGCTCGAATTGGCGTGCGATGCTTTTATGTCGTGCAATCTTTACAAGAAGAAATCATTTTTGTAATTAATCAAAAGACTGATATGTTTTTTGTACACACTTATGACAAGTCAAAAGAAAAGGCAAAAAAGTATTTTTGAAGTGTGTATATTTTTAATAATTCCTAGCTGAGCGCTTTCGGCTTTACAAAGCCATCATCGGAGCTATGGTCAATTTATAAATACCACTACAATGGAGAGATCTCATTTCCTTATATGTTGAAATATTGATTTTTTATTTAATTACTTAGTTGTTAAAATTCTTAAAAAAACATATTCTGTCTACCTCCTCACAGCAAACAATAGTCGGGTTCTTACACCCGTACCATGACAAAAAATTTTTCAATTTTTTAATGTGTCTGTGAAGTCCAGTGTCGGTTTTTTATATGTTTTTTTAAGAATTTTAACAACTAAGTAATTAAATAAAAAATTAATATTTCAACATATAAGGAAATGAGATCTCTCCATTGTAGTGGTATTTATAAATTGACCATAGCTCCGATGATGGCTTTGTAAAGCCGAAAGCGCTCAGCTAGGAATTATTAAAAATATACACACTTCAAAAATACTTTTTTGCCTTTTCTTTTGACTAATCATTTTTGTGTATACAAGTTACGGTTTGACAGATAAAAAAAAATGGTTTGTGGTTTTTACCTTTAAGTCTATTTCCTTTCCTAACAAGTCGTACAAACTGGCTCCAGATGTGGTTATTTCTCCAGCTAATTGTCTTGAAAATTTAAGTTCACTAATCTTAAACATAAAACTAATGAATGAACATGAATATTACCGAATAAATTCGTATACTTATATAGTATAACATGCAATGTAAATATACGAACAATCCGAAAGTATGTTAATAAAATATTATCTGAACTGCTCCTTTGAATACAACGGTTAGGATTTGGTATGATGCCCCGTTATGCAGACTGAAAAGCTGCTGAATACTTTGGTCGTAAAAATTTGACAGTTTATTGGAATTTTGTACTTGGCAACACTGGTTCACAATGATAGCAGTGATTCTGGTTGTCCACTGTCACTTTATTGTGAATGTTCCTCAGCTGATAAATGCCACAAATTTTAACAATTGGAAATTCAGAGAAACGATACTACTGGAAGAAAGGCAATTATCAAATGTATTGAGCAAAACAAAGCAAGATTACAATGAAGCAAAAGGAAAAGCAGAATTTAAAGTTAAGGATTTAAGGTTAAAGCATCATAGTGCAATGTTTAACAGACAAATACTTGGATTTAGTTAAGGATACAAAAACTGCAAAAGAAATTATTAAAACTAGAAAATGTATTCGAGAGAAAAAGTGTATTTACAAAATTAACATTGAAACGAAAATTATTGACATTGAAGCTGAAAAGAAATGAAAAATTAAAAGGTCTCTTTCTGTTGTTCGATATCCTTATAAGAAATTTAGACAATTCTGGTTCAAAACTAGAAGAAGACAAAAGTATGCCATTTATTACTAACATTAGCACCACACCTCAATAGCACCTTTGCAACATTTTTGCTTTTCTGGCTACATGCATAGATTAAAGCGGTGCCACAAGAAGCAAAATTAGGATCAATTTTACTCTTTCTTAAAGCTTCTTGAAGAAATCCGCACCAGGTATCACTCTTACAAGCATTGTGGATAAGGTGCTGTAGTTCAGGACTTTTGGTGAAACATGTGAAACAAGATCCTCCACCCTTTCTATTAGTGCCCTAACTGTCTTAAGATTTTTACTAGTAGTCAAACTTGTACCAATGGATGCAACATTAATGACACAGTAGATCTTTCAATAATCATAATATATGTGTAATAATAATAATTCACCAGTAGGAAAAATTATTAACTAAGAACTAGCTGACAAACTGGGACTTCTCCAAATCGACCATCTTCCTTATTATTAATACGTCCCTGACAGAATGCGTAAAAATGACAACTACAAGCTTATACTGGGACCGCACTGTCAGTGGCACATAATAGACCGGATCTCATAGTAGTTAATAAACTTACTAGGAAACAACACTTACTGATGTGGCGATACCTAATACCAATAATTTGCGTGTTAAATACAATGAAAAGCTCGCCAAGTACAGAGATCTAGAAATACAAATTAGGAAACAATGAAGAATGGAAAGCACCCAGACAATACCTATTATTCTATCTACTACTGGTGTTATACCCAAAAATCTCATAGAGAACAAAAAACAACTGGGCCTAAATGAACATCTGTATAAGACCATGCAGAAAGATGTACTCCTCGAGACGCCCAGATGTGTACGAAAATTTTTGGGAGATACTCCAGCATACCAAGTCACCTAGGGCTCGATAACACGGAAAGAGTCCCACCCGAGCTCAATCCTTTTGATACCTTCGGTATCAAAAGGATTTTCCCTTAGAAGGAGTGTGAGCCGTATGGCTAAATCTAAAATATATGTGTTAGAATAATATGGTTAGAAGAACACTATTAAATATCAAAGAAGAGATCGAGAAACACTATGAGAATCTTCGGTATAACCCCAACAGTTGAATAAAACTTAGAATAATACACTTCATATGGAATTTACCATATAGCAATTCAAGAATTTATGAAGGTAATCATGGAAATGGAGCAATAAATTTGGACAAAAGAACGAAAAAAACAAAAATAAACACATATATTTCTTGTCGGTAAATCTGTTATTGTCCCAATGGCCGTATTACTTAATAAGCACCATAAAACTGAGCTATATATTACTAATATGTTTTTTTTTTAATTTTTAAAAATCAAATTATTGTATTATTTACCTTATCCGATATATCAAAATCTCTTAAATCTAGAGTAACATCGTCAATGTTTTCATCATCGCCTTGTTCCAAGTTACTGAGCAGAGCTTCATGTAGTATTTTCGTTATTTTTAAAAGTTCCTTAATGGCGTATCCATCGGCTTGGTAAAGTCTTTTAGTATTTAAACGAATATTGCCTTTTACTGCCTAAAACACATCTTTATATAGCTAGATCGATTAGATGTACAAACATCTCTTGTACAATTTTATCTGTAATTTTATTGCTCTAAAAGTTAAATCCATAAATAACAAAATTAGTTTTTTGAGTTGATAAATTTAACAAAAACCTATAACTTGGCAAAAAATGGAAAATATAGTGAGAGAAACCAACATTTTTCAAAAGCTATACCAGTCTTCTTCTTCTTTAAGTGCCGTCTCCGTTCCGAAGGTTGGCAATCATTACTAAGGTATCATCAGCATATCTAATATAGATTACGGTTACACCATTCACAATAATACCTTCTATTGTCTCCATTAGGGTTTCCTTAAATATTTCTACTAAATACAAGTTAAAAAGTAAAGGCGATAATATACAGCCTTGTCTCACTCCTCTTTTTATATTTATTTCATTCGACATTTCTTGTTCAACTTTTATTCTTGCCACTTGACGCCAGTATAGATTTGTAATTATTCGTAAATCTTTATCGTCTAATGCTGTTTTCAATATTTCTAGCATTTTGTTAGGTCGGACCTTGTCAAAAGCCTTTTCAAAATCGATTGCGCAAGTGATTTTTGCATTTTGATCTATCTTTTTGTATCTCTATATCAGTACTTGGATATTAAACAATGTTTCTCTTCACTCCTAAATCCGAATTGAGTATTGCTAATTGCATCGTCATCTTCAAAACTTGTTCAAAACGTGACTCATCAGACGATGTTTCTTTGTTATTGTGATAAATGTCGACTTAAGTCAATCAGGTGGTACTATCCCAGTGTCATAAATTCTGTTAAAGAGAGCACAAGGTGTTGTAATTCCATTTTTTCCCAAAACTTTAGTATTTCAACACTCACTTCGTCATATTGTTCTGAAGCTATTTTCTTGTGGCATTGTAAATTAGTTACTATTTATAACTGGAAATAAGCCACAATTAAAGATAAAAATACGTTTATTGACGTTTCAATTTCCAATTCGGAAATCGTTCTCAAAATACAAACAGTAAATTAAACAAATTTTGTTTTTTGTTACATAGTGAAAAAATTCTTCTAATAATTTAATTTTATCTGACTCATTTATATTGACAATTCAGACATACATTATGCCAATATTGTTGAGTTGCGCTACTGGGACGACTTTACTTACAAGATAGTTCATTCGATTACATGAAATCAACTTTAACTTGAGAATATCCGTCAGAAAAAAAATCATAGCATGTAATTCGTCTTTAAAAAGACAAACACATGACATGATGACAGTAAAATTCTCCTGTTAGTGATTCCATAGTAAATTATGAGGGAAAACCAGGAAAAAAAACCTCATAATACTATCCCGACATTGTAAGTATTTGTTCGTGAATTTAGTTTACCTTCAACAAACATCAAAATTCTGATTTTATATGTTACGTTATTTAAAAAAACATAAATGATGTATCCGCTATATGTTACTGACTTACTAATACTGGTATTTTCTTATTAATAACTTCCTCTTTCAATATTGGTAACCAGATCCTACTACATTCTGCCGAGGAATTTGCGACACAATTGGCCTCATTTAGCATAATTAGAGCCGCTTCTTTGATTTTTTTTTTGCCATCCGTTTCTTTTAGGACTATATTTGAATTATTCTATGTTCATTATCCCATGCGTGTTTACATATTTGAGATCTATCAAATTCTCTATTTTTAATATAAGATTGATGTTCACTTATTCTAACATTTAATGGCCTTGACGATTCACCTAAATAAAACTGATCGCATTCACAAGGTATTTTATAAATGCAATTCTTTGTCCTTTCTTGTTCATTGTTAGGTTTGGTTTTGGACAAAATAGATCTCAACGTGTTTGTTGTTTTGAATGTTGTATATTTTGAATAGAATAATTCAAATATAGTCCTAAAAGAAACGGATGGCAAAAAAAGAAAAATCAAAGAAGCGGCTCTAATTATGCTTAATGAGGCCAATTGTGTCGCAAATTCCTCGGCAGAATGTAGTAGGATCTGGTTACCAATATTGAAAGAGGAAGTTATTAATAAGAAAATACCAGTATTAGTAAGTCAGTAACATATAGCGGATACATCATTTATGTTTTTTAAATAACGTAACATATAAAATCAGAATTTTGATGTTTGTTGAAGGTAAACTAAATTCACGAACAAATACTTACAATGTCGGAATAGTATTATGAGGTTTTTTTTTCCTGGTTTTCCCTCATAATTTACTATGGAATCACTAACAGGAGAATTTTACTGTCATCATGTCATGTGTTTGTCTTTTTAAAGACGAATTACATGGTATGATTTTTTCTGACGGATATTCTCAAGTTAAAGTTGATTTCATGTAATCGAATGAACTATCTTATAAGTAAAGTCGTCCCAGGAGCGCAACTCAACAATATTGGCAATATCATTTTAAAGTCGTCTACTTTAAAATGCATAATGTATGTCTGAATTGTCAATATAAATGAGTCAGATAAAATTAAATTATTAGAAGAATTTTTTCACTATGTAACAAAAAACAAAATTTGTTTAATTTACTGTTTGTATTTTGAGAACGATTTCCGAATTGGAAATTGAAACGTCAATAAACGTATTTTTATCTTTAATGGTGGCTTATTCCCAGTTATAAATAGTAATTAACTCACTTCGTCGGGTCCAAGTGCTTTTTCATTTTTTGCCGTTTGTATTTCCCATGCAAGCTTACTTTCTGCTATAGTGAACCTATTATCGTTGTATGGTATTTCACTCTTTCATATTCAAAGAATATAGAAATGTAGTTTGTCCATTCTTTCAAATATCCATTGATGTGTCCCTTTTTATCTTCTAAACTTTGGGATATTTGTTTCCATTTGTCTCAGACGACGTCTTTTAATTTTTTGTGCAGCTGAAATATATCTTATTTTTTTTTTCATAGTGTTCAATTTCATTAAATTGTTTTCTATGAAATTGTGTTTTCGCATTTTTTATCTTCTGCCTGATTATTGCGTGGATATTCTTGTATTCGTTTTTATCTTTGTTTTGATTTCTTCTGTTCATCCAAGAGATATGTCAGTACATGGGTATTCTGATGCTATTTATTTTGTTTCTATAAGTTTTCTAATTCTCACTTGAACAGCTACCGCTTTGTGTATGGTGGCCTTTTACATTGTGATTTATTCGGTAAATTACTTCATTTTTCCACTCGGTGGAAAACAATATTACTGCATGAGTGTTTTTTGGATATACAGTTATTTTACATTGAATGGATCAGTCTTCTAGTTCAGTGAGGTCACTAGATTCTTACTACTATATTCTGGTGCCTCTATTTGACCGCTATGGGGGTGCCATGGACATAAAGACTGATTAAAGTTAAGAATGTTGTCTGCTATGTATATGTTGTAAAATAGAGATGAGAATACGGCTTCCTGTAACACTACTATCTCCGTAAGCTCTTGTTCTGATAAGACTTTGGGCTTTCATACATTCTTCATCCATAGGCATTGTTCTTCTATTTTATTTACACGATTTTCCTACGAATGTTATCTGTGGTTTTGGAGTTCTTGTTTAACTTTTCGATTTAGTCGATTTGCTCTGTTTTTGTCTTTCTAGTTTCTGGCTGTTTTGTATCTTATTTGGCTCTTTTTTGTTTTTTAATTAGTCTCTTTTATTCCTTGGCCCATTTCTCTGAAGCCACCCTTTTTGATATTGGGCTTTTCTTGTGTTGTGCTATTTGTTAGAAGTGAAAAATCTTTTGAATTGATATTTGGAAAGTTATCTACCCCTTCGTTGATTAGTCTTTTGAGTGAAAGCCACATAGTCGTCTTCTTTTTATATATTGCATGCTGATCTTCTTTCCAAGTGCATATTTCTAGGAGTACTAAAATCTAAATTTTTCTAGTTATATTGATCTTAATTGTTATCAGAGGTCATTATTTAATTACGTTACGATTAAAATATATGTCATTGTGGACCATGCAGAACTTCTATCGTCCATTTTTGTATTAGGACTCTTCCAACTTCTTCCATCGATCTTTATCCTGAGCGACATAGTTCCAACTTGTTCCGGTTTTTTGAATGGTCATGAACCGATCTTATCTGTGGCCTTTCTCTTGGTTGTCCACCTTTGTTAGGTCTCCAATGTTGTATTGTGGCGTTGAAATGTTTGTCTTTTTGTCATGGAGTGTGGACTGCGAAGCACCATTTGAGTTTGGCAGTTTTGGTTGTGATATTAATTACTATTTATAACGGAATAAGCCACAATTAAAGATAAAAATACGTTTATTGACGTTTCAATTTCCAAATCGGGAATCGTTCTCAAAATACAAACAGTAAATTAAACAAAAAACAAAATTTGTTTAATTTACTGTTTGTATTTTGAGAACGATTTCCGAATTGAAAATTGAAACGTCAATAAACGTATTTTTATCTTTAATTGTGGCTTATTCCCAGTTATAAATAGTAATTAATATACAATGCCACAAGAAAATAGCTTCAGAACAATATTTGGTTGTGATATCCTCAACTTTTATTTTTGATCTAAGCTAATCGTTTTTTTTTCTATCTGACAGTTATACCTAATATTGACCTTTCTGTTGTGACTAGTTTATTTATATTTGCCTTGGATAGGGTCCAGGTTTAACAGCCATATATCATGTATGCGTTAAGATCTACAAAAATCTTTCGGTTACTATAAATAAATGCTTCTCCGAAACACTAGTAAATTACTTACATTGCAGTATTGTCAATGATATTAGAAAACCGATCGTGACATTCTTTTAAGTAGCTAATAGAAAAGACATGAGCTAAGACATTAAATTTATGCGTTACTTCTATCCTAAAGTAGTAAAATTGTATCCCATTTGAATACCAAACATACATACCATAAATTCTGCTACATTCCTTATTAATTTGACTCTGTCTTGTTCATCTTCAATTTCCAGAGGAATTTCTACATCGGGATCAAATCTTTTAGATAGCCACGTTAGAAGATCAGCTACTAATGGGAAATTGGCTGATCTAAAACTTTCCATGGATACTAAATTCGGATAACCCAATACTCGAAGAGTTTCTATTAGATCTACAAAAATATAATAAATTTTTATATACAATTTAGCCTAAATTATTCGTGTTAAAGTTAACGTGAGTTATAACGAAAAACGGGTCATCCAAACCCGTTATTATATTAAGGGAAGAACTTTCGCGTCAGAGATAATACTGTACGACCAATGACGCAATATTCTTAAATACTAATGGCATATTACTGTGACGTAAATCTTGCCTTATGCAGGATATTATGACGATAAACTATAATCTAACATTCTGATTTTGACATCACGTATCCAAAAATAACAAGTAGGTATATAAAGTTATCATTTTAATCATATTTTGAACTTTAGTAGTGGATTCTAGCACTGCGTTATGCGGTAATATTGACTGACGTTATTTAGTTGTACAGTTGCACAATTGCACTTATCAGTTGCACAATATTATGTTATGTTTACATATTTTGATATTATTGTTAATTACTCTAGTTGTACTATTTTTAATATTTTAACCACTTCTTTTAGTTTTTTTAGTAGACATAATTTAGTAAATTATAAACATACAGTACCACAGGGGCCTATAGGAACATTGACAGGTATTAAATGAATAATATGAATTTCGCGCTGAATTTGCTATCGGAGGTTGGCAACTGTATGGGCAGCAGTAAACCATGCTTCAGTACAGTGTCAGTGGACGCAGTAAATGCAGAGTGTCAATTTTATGAGATAATTGGATAATTTAAGGTATGTTTTCTAATTTTTACTAAATTTTGTTAAATGTGTACACGTACACATCTCACACCTTCATTTCATGCAGTAATCGTTAATTTAACTAAACTTTTTGTAAGATTGTGCTTGATAATGTTTTTCGCGTGAAATGGGGCAATGAGAACTACCAACATTGGGGCATCGGTCCTATATGCCCTGATACATTTAGCAAAATTGCTTAGTGTATGATATCTTTTCAGATGCGGAATTACAAAAAAAAAGGCTTCGCCTCAATGCAACAAAGCTACAGCAAATGAGGCTACTATCGCTGTTCAGAATGGCATGAGTTTGGGAGCAGCAGCTGAAAAATTCAAAATTCCAATAACTTGCTTGATACGACGCTTAAAATGAGTAAGGCCTAACAACGATTCAATTCGGTGGCTCTCCCGTGCAGTTTTAAGCATGTATTAGTAAAGAAGATGAGAAAATTTTAGTAAAACATCTTTTCGATATGCAAAACAGGTTTTACGGACTTACACCACTTGATGTCCGTAGAATTGCTTCTTCAATAAAGTGTTAAAGCAAGCAGGAGAAGATTGGCTGGCCGGATTCGTTAGAACATCACCCTCAGCTTTCAATACAAAAGCCTGAAGCTACTAATCTTAACAGAGAGGTTGGTTTTAACAGAAATGAAGTTAATCATTTCTATGATCTTTTAAGTGAAGTGATATACAAATTCGGATTTACAGCTGATAATATATATAATTTTGACGAATCACGAATCAGTACAGTACAGAAACTTATTAACATATTTGCTAAGAAAGATCAAAAACAAGTCGGTCGAATTGAAAGTTCTGAAAGAGGTTCCAATATAACAGTGAGGTTCCACCTTTTTTCTTCTTTATCGTGAAAGAATGTCACCTCTTCTAATGAAACACTTCTGCCTTCACACTTGCTGGTGTTGAAGGCTAAACAAATGGGTCTGGTTGGATGGACAAAGATCATTTTCTCATAATCTCGATAATTTTATTAATTTCGCAAAGCCTACCCAGGAATATGCAGTTCTACTAATCTTGGACAGCCATATTAGTCACAGACGAGCGTAAGCTGTTTTAAAAGCTAGAGAAAATAACAAATTACCTCCACACTGCAATCATCGAATGCGGCCTTTGGATTTTTGCTTGTTTGTACAATTAAAAATGCTGTATTCACGGGCATGTGATTATTACCTGACTTCTCATCCTGGAGAAAAAAATATCCATATAAGAAACGGAAGAAGTATGCTGCAAAACTTTTTAAAAAGTGGCAAATGTTGAAAAGGGCACAAAAGGATTTGAAAAAAGTGGCAGAGATATGTTTGATGAGACTGACTTTCTGACTTCAACAATTATTTGATACCTCTTCTCAAACTTGCATGTCGGAAAATTTGCCCGCGTCAGCATTGCACCAATTTAAAATAAGTCGTCCTCCTAGACCTACCACTTCAAATCAGCAATTGTCTGCAACTTCAACCGGAAGATTTGATAATTATTCTCCTCAACCTGGCACCAGTAAGCAGGCTCAATTCTAGTTCTTTCACAGACATACTCCAACTGCTGTCTCCAAAATCCAGTCAACATAAGAAAAAGCACACAACCAATACTAAAAACAATATATCGAAAATTTTGACAAGCACCCCAAACAAAAGTGATGTTGAGAAACAAAAAGAAATTAGGAAAATAAGATATCAGAAATCAAAACTAAAACTATGCAAAGAACTGCAGAAGTATATATACAATGAACCTTATAGTCAGAGCAAGAAGAAAGAGGGCTGCATAAAGTGTCAGCAATACAATAAATGATCACATGATGCATGTGCTGCTGTGGAAAAAAACGAAGATGTGTTTCTATGTGAATTTTGCAAAATCTTGCTGTAATTGATGATCCCTTTTGTCCCATACTGGACCAGACGCCATTTTCACTTTATGTTTTAGTTTTTTTTAAAGGTGTTACTTTATTACCATTGTTTGTTAAGCATTATAATAAAAAATGTTCAAAATTCAAAACTATGGTAAGGGCGGTGTTTCCATTAGGGTAAACTGTGCAAATACCGGTCAGTGGGTAATGGCGGTCATCCCGATTGTGCGAAATCTATTCAATCTGGCAACCTCCCATAACTGCCAACGTGTCGCTACACTACTCTGTATTCAGATTGCTGACGAGCGTTGAGTTGGCGCAAACCATTGTCATAGAAATATTATTAACCTGTTTTCAGTGTTTTCGATCTTATTTTTATGCTGAGTAATATAAGGTCTTAATTCATTTTTATTCACTTGTAAATCTTAAAATTGGTTACAATTGATTATAATGACGTTAGCTGCCTATTTCTTTTTTAAAGATCAATATTTTAATACATGTTTACGAGTAAAAAATTCTAAGAAAAAAAATGCCAACAGGAGGCAATGCCGGTCAGTTGACCGGTATTACCCCCATGCTATAATTTGTACCCTATACTATTAATCCTTAGGGATTAATCCATCCATTTTTCGACATTGCAAGAAAGAATAAAAAATAAAAATCTCCAAGGTGTCTCATTAGGTAGAAAATCAGTATTTTCTGCCGAACAAGAAGCTAAAATAGCCACACAAAAAAAATATTTAGCTTAATTTTTTATGGCGTAATAGCAATAGAACTGAGAAAATTAGCATTTGGGTTTACAAGGTAATTTTTCTTGTAATAAAACACCTTTTTCTTGTAATTGGCATTACAAGAAAAAGGTGTTTGATTCTAGTTCTTTGAAATCGGATATTGATATATCATGTGATAACAGTGACGATGCATACGAAGATAGATGCCTGGTTTACAGCGAGTTTGGCAAAAACAATGAATTGTGGTATATATTTACTGTTTGCTCACGATGGGCTTATTCAGAGTGCAGTGGATGGGATTCTGCAGAGAGTTATACCTGCGATGACTGTCAACTATTTTTACATTAAAACACATATTTTTTGTTATTTTTTGTTTGTTTTGTAATAAAAAATATTTTTTCACCTTTCTTACCGATTTACTTGAATTATGACCCATTAAGCCACATTCGTTAATCGTTTTATAACAAAAAAAATGTTAAATAGATATTGATTTTTATTTTAATAATAACACAAATAAATTGACTGGCATTACCCACACTCATGACCGGTATTGTCCATGTATGGTGACAATACCGGTCAAAGATACTTTTTTATGTTTTGTCTCTGTCAAAGACAAAAATTTTATATTTTTGAAATTAAATGTATCTTGCAATAAGTTAAAACCCCAAATGACGGATTGACGGCTTAAATTTGATTCACAGAGTTTTACTTTTTTTTATATTAAATTTTCTTCTTAGGTGACCGCGATTTGCACACTTTACCCTACCTATTAAGTTTTGCAGAGGCAGGTAAAAAAGTGTTAGGTGGTCCGTTTTGCCCCAGTCTCCCCTAGTTTTGAGTAAACGTTTATTCGGTATTTTAATAATTATTGTCATACGTTTGCTGATATATCTACTGGTAGTACGGATATGCTTTGAATATCAAATTGTATTGTTCTTTTCACAGTGGCGTCAATGATAGAACTTTAAAAGCTGAACTAAATATGGAAATAAGTTGAAAAAAATCTATAGAATCAACAGTACAGGTCTACCAGAACAGACAAACAGTCACAGGAATTTTTGACGATTATGCCGTCATATTAAACAAACATTAATGAAATCAACGTCTGACTTAACTTCACTTTGTGGTTTAATGAGAATCTTAAAGAGAAATAAATATAATTTAAAAGGGAAATTCACAGTGGTTGGCTGTATACCATAGTTCAAAAAAACTTACAATGAAGTGAAAACTTCTTTTGTATAATGGTATACAATTTTATTATTAAACATTTTTTTTCATAAAATTATCCAAAATGGATTTAAAAAAATTTCAGAACGTTTTCGATTCTAACAGATTATCCTCAGAGAAAAACGCCTATATGGTATTTGAAACTAGCCACATGGTGAGGTCAAATGACCATTAAATTACATAATTTGAATAACTAATATTGTAATTAATAAGACACTAGGAAACTAGGTCGATGAGAATCACCCTGCTTTAGCGGCAAAGGAAACTACTTAAGCCGGGTACACGCATGCCAGTAAATTGGGAAAGTAGCTGGCATGCCAGTTGCTGGCATAGGCTAGTAACTTGCAAGCACAAAACACTTTTGCTAGTAATTGGCATGCCAGTAGTTCGCTTGCCGATACTGGCAAGGCGAAAAAGCAGGGTAGATTTTTACAGATGCCAGTAGATGGGTAAATGCCAGTGCTAGTAAACAATCAAGTGGTTTTCATTTGAAACTAAAGTACTTGTTTTGTAATTAAAAGGTTTTGAGTTTGTATTAAAAAAAAGGGGGAATCATGGAAGGTATTCGGAATGAATTCAAAAAGCAAATATTGCTGATAACCACAGATATTGTTAGAAATTTAATAATGAATTCGAAGCGAAACTCAAAAAAATAGGGTGAGAAATTGCCTTTATCTCCTTTATAGTAATATCTTTACCCATTTTCTTTTGAATTTTTTGTAAGCATTGTCACGGGTAATTTTATTTTTATGTAAACATGATTTAGAATTCAAAATACACTCCAATTCTCTATATATAGCATCGAGTTAGAATCTATGGAGAAGCTATGAGCATATTAACGTATGTATTAAAAACGGCGTAGGTAGGCGTGGCTAACGTTAATACCAATATGGCGGTGGGATCAGGGCCAGACTCAATAATATTAAAACTACTATACAAATATGACTAGTTATTCAGAAGATTTAATCATAATCTAAAAAAGTGCAATACATTTTTAATAAACTATGACTTATTTATCCCGCGGTAAACACTAAAAACACGATATATTATATATAAAGATAAATTAATACAGTCAAATACTATTAATTTATTCTCTGAAGTACGGGCCATTACTTTGTTTACATATTTGTATACTAACCTGTGGAACGATATTCCTGAAGATTTTTTATTAACATTGCTTCTGCTACTGCAACTACGTTGAGAACAAGAAACCATTATTATGCATTATCACAATATAATATTACAGTTTCTATAAAAGTATTATAAAACTAAATATATTCGAAAATCAACAAATGTAAACAAACATACGATCTGTCAAAAGTGTCAAAACAATATTCTTAACAATATGGCCGAAGTGAAGTCGTTTTTAGTCACGTGATGCCCTCTCCATAGATTCTAACTCGATGATATATAACAATAAATTTGATGGTTTTTTCATCACTCCAACGAAACATTTTTAAATTAACAAGTTTAAAAATAAAACGATTAATTTTTATCATCAATATAACAAATCTTAAAATTCTCTGCAAGCTACTGGCATGCCCACAGCGGTGGCACACATTCACACATGCCAGTGACACCCTTCAAGCATGCGCCTTGCATCTCACAGCATGCTACTAGCAAGAAAAATCGAATTCTTTGCAATTAGTTAGCATGCCAGGAACTAGCTTGCCAGTTAACGTATACACTTGTCAGTTTGGGGACAGTAGCTGGTGCTTGCTAGGTACTGGTATGCCATTGTACTAGTAACAGGCATGTGTATCTCCGGCTTTATGTCGATTTGGCGAACGGTATTGCGTTTCCTCACCTTCCTACTAGATGATGCTGCATTAATTTATTTGACAATTCTATCAGTAAGCGTTAGTCACATTTCAATGTAAAACTTCGTAGTGTAACAACGATCATCTGTAAATGTCAAATCATTCTAAGGTGAGTAATTGAACCAGTAATTGTATGAAAAAATTTATTTTGCTTCTTACATTGTTTTTATTTGATAATTTGCATTATAGTTTGCTCATATTTACAAAATTGTTTATGTAAACATCATAAACATCAATGAATCCAAATGGAATCATTGGGCCATTGTGGAGGTCTCCAAATGGCATCATTGGGAAGTCGAATTTTGTTTCTGTCAATAAAATACAAAAGTACAATATACTTTTTTATTTCAAATGGATCGTGTGTTCAAAACTACCAAAACCAAACTTTCTTCTCGGGAATTGCAAAATCTGTCCAAGGAAGAGATAGTTGGTCTTCTTGAGGACTCTGATATCGAATTTGATGTTGATAATGAGGAAGAGTCTTTGGAAGAAGAAATGATTGAAGAAACTAAAATAGAAGAATTATTGGAAAATATTGTTGGAGATAGCTTGAACACCCAAGTTACAGAGAATATGGAAGAAAAAACTGTTGAAGAAATTACAGAAGAGCCACAGACAAGTGATGCCAAGAAAAAAAAGCATAGAACAACCAATTTGGCCAGACAACAACTTAATTGATATAAACAGCAAATACAGTGTTGATATTATTAAAAATTTTGCTGAGTAGACAAACTTGTATCCTGTTCAAAAAGACAGTAAAAATATTTATACAAATGCAGCCGAGATAGAGCAATTCTTAGGCATACATGTATTGAGTGGAATTGTTTGTGTTCCTTCGTATAGAATATATTGGGCAGAAGAAACGCGATATAATACGATAGCTGATATCATGTCACGTAATCCTTTTGATAAACTGCGAGCATATTTTCACGTCAACGATAATTTGAAAGTCTCGTCTAGCAACAATGACAAATTATATAAAGTAAAACTTTTCATTGAAAAAGTTCGGCAAAATATAAATAAAATAGAACTTGAGAAATTCAACAGCGTCGATGAGTTTATTATATCATTTAAAGGACATAGTAATCTAAAGCATACACTAAATCATTTAAAAATACATCTCATAAATGGGGCATAAAAGTTTTTGCAAGAGTAGGACGCAGCGGCATACAATACGATTTCGAGATATATTGTGGGGAAAGGAACAGTCCACGATGAATGAGGTCTTGGAATTAGTGGAGAAATAGTACTGAAGTTGATCAGAAATCTACCAAACCACATGAATTTCAAGATTTTCACGGATAATTGGTCTTTATCTTATAATCTACTTATTGGTCTGAAAGAACGGGGCTTCCTTTCTCAGGGACTGTAAGAAGTGGACAGCTGGAAGTTTGTCTTTTTTCAGAAGAAAAAGTTCTAATGACAAAAGGTCGTGGATCCTCTGATGTAAAAACAGACAGCAAAAAAAATATTACTGCTTTTAAATGGTATGACAATAAGTCTGTCATATAAGCATCGAAGTATATAGGAAAATATCCTCTTGATAAAGTGAAGAGATGGTGCAACAAGAGCAAAACCTATGTAGAAATCTAACGGCCAGTAATTGTCAAAGAATATAATATTTCGATGGGGGGTGTGGATGTGCATGTCATGCTTGTGGAACTATATAGAATCAAAATCAAACAAAAAGATGCTATTTGAGAATAATATTTAATAAGACACTGCAGACAAAAACAAGTGAAGCACATGACCTTCTCCAATTCAAATCTCAAGTTGGACATGCGTTACTTAAAGCTGGAAAATTCGACACGAGAAAACGAAAACGTCCTTCTCAAGGGAATACAGCAAATAAGATATATAGAAATAGAAATAATGCATCCTGCACCAGTTCAAGATGTTTGATTTGATGGCGTTGGACACTGACCACTACATGATCAAAAGCGCACAAGGTGCAAATTATGTATAAAGTCTTGCTCTAGAATAAAATGTTTTAAGTGCAATGTTTTTTTATGTTTAAACAATAATAGAAATTGTTTTTATAGTTTCCATGTACAAAATTAAATTGTTAATACAGTAAAACCTCCCTTCACCGAAACCTTTTTATCCGAAACATCGTTTAACCGAAACTGCTGACAGTTTCAATAATTTCGTCACTAAAAGTCAATTTTTATCGCAAAACGTAAACAATTTCACTAATTTCACTCACCGATTGATGCCGACATATGTTGGGAAATCAGAAAAACCAAGAGCTCTAAAAGATAGTTGAGAAAAAGCACTTCTAGTTTTTATAGAAGCCAAAAAAGCTCATGGATATCGATCACTTAATTTTTAAATGGTTCGAAAACGAATTTGCCCTAAGTGTAAAATCCTTTGTAAAATAAAAAACCTTCCCATCAAAGCATTGTTGCTTGTTGACAATGCGCCAACTTACCCTCAAAATCTACACAATAGTCTTAATATTCAGACCAGGGAGTAATAGAGACATTATAGAGGAGCATGCTTAAGACATATATTATTACAGGAGATGAATGAATCCGAAAGTGTTCCCGAAATTCTCAAATCTTTAACAATGAAACATGTTGTTTGTCGGTGTGCTGAGTTCTGCGCCATGATCAAATCTTCAACTTTGGAAAAATGATGGCACCATCTTTTTGATGGGATTTTGATTGACGATCCTGAAGCAGAAAATGGTAAGGAAACGGCAGAAGAAATTTAATCTTTAATACGTGAGTGGTTAGCAGCCGATGACTCAGAAAGTGAATTCATCGACCAGGACATCATAGATATGATTCTTTATCCAGATAACCTGAGCGTATCAGACGACAAAGATGACGACCCAACAGACAACAGACACCATGAGACCGCCGACGAGATTTTTAGCGCCATAAGGATAGGAATTTTATACAGTAGTAGTTAGGGACACGACTAGGTTCTTAATTTTTGTTTTCATTGCATAACGTTTTGTCCTTTTCAGATTGCTTTATGAGGCAAACTCACGACGTTCTGCAAATGAACGATGGAGATATATAGCTGCAAAACATAGTTGTCAAACTATGTTTTGCAGCTACATATATATGTACAAATCTTTATTTAACTACAAATTTCTTTAAAAAAAGCATGTTAAACTTGTTTATTTTTCTTAATTTTATTACTTTATTCTGTATTTACTCCGTAGTATCACCTCATAGTATTTTTTAATAAGTACCAATACTTTAACCAAGAATACTATAAAAAACAATGTTATTTTTAACCAAAATTCTTGTTATCCGAAACGGCCTCCCCCCCCCCATTATTTCGGTTAAGTGTAATAATAAACGTATTTCCTATTATAGTCAAATTTTTACCAGACCATTATATCAAGTGTTCTAAATGGATAATTAAGGTACCAACAACGCCAGATGATTCTAAATGGGATCAATTTTTTTTGAGTTTGAAGACTCTAGGACGCAACATTTTTACAAAAGTTATCAACAATTGTATCGTTTCCTATAACATAGGTATATTTTTTTCAACAAAATTTATTTAAAAAAAAATGGGCTGGAATAAAAATGTGTGTCAACTACGCCTATGGTAAAGATTCATTAAAATTAATTGAAACCCACTAAAACCTTATGATAACAATATAAATAACGCTATATAATGGAAACTTACTGCGAATATCTCTGTACGACATTTTTATTGTTTTTATTGTTTAAAATTGTAGGTAAAATAACCCAAACCACAATGTGAGACGTGTCACTTGCAATGTTTACTGTTTCAAAGAAAGTTTATATACAAACATTGGTTGCTCAGCAACGTTCCCAGTTGACAGTGTCGCATTTGGATCATTCAAAATACATAAATTTGTAAGTTTTCTTTTGCTTATATACGTTAATTGAGGAAGGCTCATATTTTGTAAAATTTGCTCTTTAAAAATATAACTTACTTATAACACTACAAAATAAAATAGATTGTGCATCAGTAATTTAAAGGAATAGAATAACCGATTGATCAAGTGAAGTAATTTGTCTTAGATCTTAGAACATTACTGCTTTTCGTAGTTCGCATAATGACCTGTATCATATTTCACAAATTTGTTCTAGTAATTTTTCAAATCTTGCTTGAATAATCTGTTGTAATTGTTTTAAATATGACTTCGTTATTTTAGGGATAATAATTACATCAATACTAGGTTAATTGTCAAAATATTGATGTTCAGTTAACTATTTTTATCTATATTACTATATAATTCAGTTTTAAAGCTGTTCTCAAACTCAATATGAATAAAAAATTACATTGTATTGTACATTGTACCTAGAGCAGCCATTACTTAAAATATTTTTCTTGGTAGGGGAAGGGTGGGCATGGTGGCCACTGCGGGCATAGTGGTCATTCACTCATGGTACAAAGAACACATTGTGTGTTCATTGTACTATGGTGGCCACTGGTTGTTACTGCACGTCAGCTCTTTCATTTGAACGTCATCTTAGATGTACTGTGTAAGTTGTTCTGATCATTTGTTTAAACGTTATTGAAAATGTTCGTGTTTTTTAACATCCTGATATAAGGTAAGTGTATTTAATTAATTATTACAACCAAACTTTCATTCATAATACAGGCAAATGATAGTAACGTTAAAAGAGGGTTGTTTACTCTACAAAACGATCTGTCTGTGTAACGACTTGCTCGATTCGTTTAGTCGATAGTATGGCATTTATATAAAGAGGGCAAAGTAGCCACGTCTGTGGCCACTATACCCGACATAAAGTAAAATATATTTTCATTGAAAAATAATAGTATTTTGTTTACAAAATTATTGAGCATTTCAAACAGCAAAATAGCGTGTGTTTTATTTGAATTCTTACTAATTAAAGCCTAGTTTAGGGGTTCTCACCTGCAATAAACCTATTTTAGCAAGTAATGTAGACTGGTAATTATATTCCAAGATCGCTTATTGTACTATGTATTTACATGATACAATAAATTAACATTACTGTATTCGATTATTGTAGCTTTATTTAAGGTGAAAACGCCGTGTTACTTTCAAATTTTAATGCAATTTAACATGTAATACTAAAAACGTTTTTTTTAGGTGTAGCGATGCTGTCAAAATATCAGAGGAAGAGTCATCAGCAGTCATGGGACTCCGCAGCGATGCAAAGAGCAATCGATGCCGTGAATAAAGACGGAATGCCTTATCAAACGGCTACTAAAACTTACAATGTGCCTAGGAACACACTAAAAAGTCGCGTACTAAATAAAAATCAAGACGCCACTGAAAATAAAAAAGTATTAGGTCATTTTTGAGCTGTTTTCAACGAAGAACAAGAACAGCAGTTGGTAAATTATCTCTTGGAGATGGAGGTACGTTTTTTTGAAATTACTGTAGCTGATGTAGCAGCCTTGCTTACCAACTGGCTGAACGGAATAACATCCCCCATGGTTTCAACAAAGAAACTAAATTAGCAGGAAAAGATTGTGTAACTGGGTTCAGAAAGCCCCATCCTGAGCTTGTGTTAAGAAAACCTGAGGCGACTTCAGCAGCAAGGGCGCAAGCATTTAACAAAACGAATGTCACGAAATGTAAGTTTTTTGGCATTTTGGAGGATGTTCAAAAATATCACTTGTATCCTTCTCATAGGGTTTACAATATTGATGAAACTAAACTTATGACTGTCCACCCAAATTCTTCAAAGGTTTTTGCTCCAAAAGGGCGACGACAAGCCGGATCTCTTATATCTTCAGTGAGAGGTGTTCACAGCACATTTGTAATTTCTATGTCTGCTGGGGGAGTTTTCATTCCTCCTTTTATCATTTTCCCTAGACAACGGATGAAAATAGAACTTCAAGACGGCGCTCCACCTGGAACAGTTTTTGTTGTCAACCTTCAGTGTGGATGCAAACTGAGATTTTCACACAATGGTTTGACCATTTCTTGAAGTTTGCGAAGATATCCGAAGACGACACAGTTTTGCTCATACTTGATGTACATTCCACCCAACTGAAGTGAAACGGGAAATATTTGTCCAGTGCGTTTTTCTTATTATGACATACTGAGCAGAAACTCTCACAAAAACAACAGCACTAAAAATGCGACTGGCACAAAGGCGGATGGAAAGTTCGATTCTTGGGGTGACAAAAGAAGACAAAATAAGGAACCACGACCCAAGAAAAAGAACAGTTATCACTGATGTCGTCGAACGTATAGCCAAGCTGAAATGGAATGGGGCAGATCACATAGCGAGACTAAAAGACTCAAGATAGACCAGAAAACTAATTGACTGGCACCCAAACTCAGCAGAGGACGACCACCAACACATTCGTTGTGTAATACTTTGTGTTTTAAACAGTACTACCGGTGGTACACATTGAAACAAATTCAGTATTCATATTTCTGAAATTTTCCAACTTACAATTTTTACTTTACTCATAATAACTATCAAATTTTATAGACAAATGTACACAGATAACAGAATTCTAAATAGAGATTTTTTCGAAGATTGCAGTTCGATGTTAGAGTGCATTTCCTAAAAAATGTGTCATTGTGTACGAGTCTTCCCTACCTACCTCTTATCTCTCCACAAAACAATATATACCCAATTCCTTTTGAATTAATATAAAACTAATTTATACAACTGCGTTTTTGTTTGTTTTAGTCTTATATATTTTGTAGTCAAATTTTCTAGTTGTTTTAATACAGTATTGCCCAAAATAAACAGTACTAAAACTGAAACATAGATGTCTCTTTATGCGCGGTGTCATATTCAAATTAACTAGTATAGATCTGTCAAGTAATCCTTAAATAATTAATTGTTAAGGTCTAATTGTTAAAAACGATTACATAAACCACCTTGCAAGGCTACAGCAACCTTGCTTAACCTTGCAAGGTTACAGCTAACCAAGTTGCTACTTAACTCCTTACGAATGGAAAAACTACTAACCGATATAAGGACCCAAACATTAGGAGAAGATTGGATTCGGAGACAAACCACCTAGAAACTCCTTTTACACTGAAAGAACTCCACGACGGTCTGAACAGGTTAAAAAACGGGAAAGCTGCAGGTGTGGATGATATATGCAGTGAACAAATAAAGCATTTAGGCCAAGGAGCAAAAAACTGGATCTTGCAATTTTATAACACGTGCTGCAAAACCTGCAAAATTCGAAAATCATGGAGGAAATCTAAAGTAATAGCCTTGTTAAAACCAGGAAAGGATCCAGAAGACCCCAGTAGCTACAGACCTATTTCGCTATTGTGTCACTTTTTTAAACTATACGAGAGACTCATACTCGCCAGAATAGAAAAAAAATGTCGACAAGCACCTCATCCCACAACAAGGAGGATTCAGACCTGGCAAATCTTGCACCGGTCAAGTCCTCGCATTAACAGAACACATTGAAGAGGGCTTTGAAGAAAAGCCCAAGCCAAGCGAAAACTCCAAATTGTGTGGAATGGTAATGCATTAGAACACACAAACCAACCTATATATCTTGGAGTAACTCTGGACCGGTCCCACCTACAGACAACATTGCATAAAAACAAGAGGGAAAGTAACAACTAGGAACAGCATACTCAGAAAGCTAACGGGAAGTAAATGGGGCGGACGTCCTGGCGTTTTAAGAACAACGCACAGGCACTGTGTTTCTCAATTCCTGAATATGCGTGCCCCGTTTTTAGCAGATCTGCCCACATCAAACAAGTTGATACTGCGCTAAATGAGACATCCAGTATAGTAACGGGGTGCATGAAAGCAACGCCACTTTCAAATCTATATAGTGCAGCGGGTTTTGCAGAACCCTCAACACGCAGAGGCGCTGCAGAACACATAGAGAAAATTAAACAGATCGCGAGATGATCGGCATGCCCTATACAAAGCTCGAACACCACGAAAGCGACTAAAATCTAGGAAAAGCTTCCTTAGAACAGTGCAGGATGAACCGCCTGAGTATTTTCCACTTCCCCAGGTTCAATGGACCGGCCAGACCTAGACTTTAAAACGTGGAAAACCTTGAATACAGTAAAATGAAACATGGCAAAATGGGGAAAAATAGACCAAGATGATGTGAACCGTGACTGTGGAGAAACACAGAATATGGAACATCTTCTTACATGCAGAAACTGTCCTCATCGATGTACCCTTGAAGATTTGTGGCTCGCCAACAAAGATGGAACCGACGTAGCCCGATACTGGGCCGAAATTTTATGAAAGACATGTCCGGACACGATAAAGTAAGTAAGTTAAAAATCGTGCAAAGAAGAAAGTGTTTCTTGTGGAGCATTATTTTCGCTCATACGGAATCGGCCGACGTAATAGTGCAAGTTTGCAATACGGGTGTGATCAATTCACACAACAGTTCAATAAACGTTCTCCAAGTAATGCTGTAGTTTTGAAGGTTGTTGAAAAGTTTAGAAATACGGGTAATGTATTGTGCCAACGAAAAGGAAACTCATGGCATCCCAGGTCAGTTAACAACAATGATAACCATGAACATGTTTTTGAGTGAATCTTGGAAAATCCGAAAGCCAGCCAGACAAGAAGAGCGTTGCATCTTGGCTTAAAACGAACTTCCTTGCAAAGAACCCTGAAGCAGCTGGGTGCATTTTCGTATGTGATTCAGGTATATCCTGAATTTTTGAAAAATGTATGGTTTTCAGATGAAGCACATTTTCATTTGTCAGGCCTTTTAAATCGTCGCGCAAATCGATTTCTGGGCTTTGCCAGACCAGATGAAGTTCAAGAAGTTCCTTTACATAGCGCAAAAGTGAGTGTCTGGTGTGCAGCAGTTTCAGTATACGAAATTATTGGTCCATACTTTATCGAAGAAAATGGTAGGCAAGTCACACTTAATCAACAGAGGTACATAC